TTCGTCTCGATTCGATCCGAAAAATCCGGATATCCGTAATTTTATGGAGCAAAGCAAATAATAAAATTTAATATCCGTTAAAAACGGAGCAAATCACAAATATTAAAAAAAATTAAGACGGATATCCGCTCCGCTCCGGTATAAATATATATGTATATAAAAATAGATAATAATTCATATAAAGTGTATAATTATTATATATATATGTAATTTTTGTGAATTTTTGTTTATAAATTTGATTATTATAAATATTAAACTTAATAAGTTAAGAAAAAAATATTTTTTAAAGAAAATATTGACATTTTTAGCTAAATTTTGAATTTTTTTAAATTTTATTTTAAATATATTACTATTTAAATATTTTTATAGGGCGGATCGAAATATCCAGCAAATATTGAAATTTTTGGCGGATATCCGAAAAACGAATATCCGAATAATTACGGAGCGGATACGGATCAAAAAGTGATTATCTGGACGGAGCGGAGCGGATCACGGATATCCCAAAATCCAGGATATCCGCTCCGCGCCCACCCCTACATGTAACAAATAAGTAAAATGCGGTATAAAACCCCCTCCAAAACTCTCTTGTGCTAGAAGTGTTATCATAAAGGGCCAAGGTTTATAAATTTCTAAAACTCAAGCCCATTAAATTTTATAAAATAAACCCAAGAAGAATAATTAATTGTTTCGAGTCAATAATAATAAGTTCGCCTCCCATCCGCAAACCTTTTTGCCTTTTTGGGATCAACTAGGTGGAAAGATGTTGACAACATTATTTCATTTTCTTTTCTTTTTTGTTTCAATATGGATTGTGTTTGAATACCAATAGATATTTCAAACACTAATACAAATCGATATGGTAAAATAACTAAATATCCAAATCTTGGGAAAGATGTTGACAAGTACAAGTTTTCTTCCGTTTTTATATATCTAATAATGCATATGGTTCCTAGACAACACTACTCTCTTATTATGTAGTATTAAAATAATGAGTTCCTCGAATTCAAAAATATACATATATACTTATACAATATGGCATTGGGGTTTGAGCGCATTGCAGAATACCTAACAGACATAGATGTCAATGACGTCGTCGTCATGTACTTGGTTACTAGTTGTTTTAGACAAGTAGTTTGATTAAACTTGTTTTTCAATTAAAGACCCAGACTTTTATATATTTATTAATCCTTTTTAGCCATTGGTGGGGAAAAATGACTCGGTAACCGATGAATCCTGAGGAAAGAGAATAGCCCAAGAATTTGCAGAACCTCCAAGAAAAGGAAGAGAAAGTAACCAAAAAAAAAAAAGAAAAAATCTGCAAATCAAGAGTGTGAAGAAGAAGTACAAGGCAAAATAAGAGTTATGACATTATAAAATCAAAGAGGACCTGAAACACTTGACACACCCTATTCCTCAACCTCTTCTTCTTCTTCTTTTCTCTTGTGTCTTGTCAAACAAAGCTCTCTCTCTCTCACCCACCGCTTCTACTCTGCTCTTATCGACCATAGACATTCTCTATCTCTCTCTCTCCCATATCTCTGCACTGTTATATATATGTAGGTTATATGTATATTGACACTATTGATACTAAATAAAATAATATGTATAGTCGTATAGAGTCCCATGCCCCACGAGTTTTGTTTTGTTGGCCAGCTAATTTTGCATCCGCCAAAATAAAAACTCCCTTCTTTTGTATAAGAGTTTCTAACCCCAAAAATCTAAAGGCCAAAGGCGCTCTCTTTCCTACTTATTTCTCTCTCTCTCTCTCTCTCTTCTCCCGAAAAGCCCCTTAATAAGCTTTGATATCAGATCTCTCTCTCCGCTTTTGAGATGCGTGCTCCTTTAGGGCTTTCCTTTTATACCCCAAAACGAGGCCTTTCCTTCTCTCATCTAACCCTTTCCTCTTCTCTCTCTCCTTTTTCTCATACGCTATAAGGAAGGAATCCAGAGAGAAGAGAAGAGAGTTTGTGTGTGTGAGTGAGAGAGATGGCGAATGTGGAAGAGATACAATGTGGGTCGATGCTGTTCAAGCAAGAGGAGCTGCAAGAGATGAGTGGGGTCAATGTTGGAGGCGATTATGTTGAGGTGATGTGTGGTTGTACCAGCCACCGATACGGCGACGCCATTGCTAGACTTAGGGTTTTCCCCAACGGCGATCTCGAAATCACCTGCGAATGCACGCCCGGCTGCGACGAAGGTCTCTCTCTCTCTCTCTCTTTCTCACGTCTTTCTGATGCTTTTTGGCAAAATGGGTTTTGATTTGTGTGCATGTTACATGTGAATGTGTGTGAGATTAAACGTTGATACCTCTCGCTTTCTCTTGCTCAACTCTCGAGATGTCTTCCACTATTTAAGGCAACCAAGGTTTTGTTGTTGTATGTTGTTTCTTTAGTTGGTGTGGCCTTTTTCTCTAGCTCTTCGTTTTCACTCTGATCTTTTGCTTTACTGGGTTGTCTCTGCTTAGCAGATATTACATTGGACTAGCAAGCTTAAGTCTTTAGCATGATAACATCTTTACATCAAGACTGTATTTTTCTTTCTTACATCAAGACTAGCTACCATGTGTTTTGATATTGTTGAATCACCTTCACGTTCAATCTCTTAATGTATGCTAGATCCATCCTTGCAGAAAAAGAAATGACTTGATTTGCTTCATTGTAATGCCTAGGCTTTTCGTATCTGTAATGATAATGGGTCTATTCGTTAGTGGCCAAAGTGGTAGCTTTATTGACATATGATATTTCTCACTTAGTGGTACGTGTATATTCTTGATATCAAAGTTTGATGCAACCTCTTTCTTGTAGCATCTTGTATCTACCAGTACCATCTCTAGCTCTTTGGTATAGATGCACATTTGAAGCTCTCTTTGAAAAAGTGATCTGACCTGAAAAGTTTTGAGTGTAGACAAGTTAACACCAGCTGCGTTCGAGAAGCATTCCGGCAGAGAAACGGCTAGGAAATGGAAAAACAATGTGTGGGTTATCATTGGAGGCGAAAAGGTTCCATTGTCAAAGACAGTGCTGCTCAAATACTACAATGAAGCCTTAAAGAAGTGCAGCAGATCAAACAGATCACAAGGTGGCAAAGTTTTCCACAGAGATGAGTTTGTAGGGTGCAACGAATGTGGTAAGGAGAGGAGGTTCAGGTTGAGGAGCAGAGAAGAATGCCGCTTGCACCACAACGCAATGGCGGATCCAAACTGGAAATGCTCAGAATTTCCATACGACAAGTATGCTTTTGTTTCATTGTCCTTGAGTTGAAGTTGAGGAAGATTATGCAAAATTGATAATTAAATGGTGGTTGCAGGATAACATGTGAGGCAGAAGAAGAAAGAGGAAGCAGGAGAGTGTACAGAGGCTGCACACGTTCACCGACTTGCAAGGGCTGTACTTCCTGCGTCTGCTTTGGCTGCGAGTTATGCCGTTTCTCTGATTGTTCCTGCCAGACTTGTGTCGACTTCACCAGCAATGTCAAAGCTTGAAGAAACCCATCAAATGGAGTCCCCTAAGAAAAATGCCTCAGAGACCTGGATGCATTTAAGACTTTATTCTAAAATTCTGAAACTGTTATATCTATAATCTATAGGTCGTTAAATGGATGGAGCAAATGATAATAATAATTAAAAAAAAGAAGTGAAAAAGTGGATTTCCTAGACGAACATGCAGACGAGCATGCCTCAGTTAGTGCATGTCTTGATTTTTGGCTAGTGGCAGAGAAAAACTAAAAAGAATTGTTAAGTAAAAAAGTTTGTTTCTTTATTTTATTAGCTGTGGACAGCTTTGAAAGAGACGAAGATGTCAATGGCACAGCTACTACGGTCTGTGATTTAGGAGATGGGACAGGGAAAGTGACATATTTTTCTTACTACCCAAAAAAAGCCTCAGCTAATTAGAACACTGTTTAAATGGAAAATGATGCATACTTATATTATAAACAATCAAAAGGCAAGTCGTCACGAGATAGAGAGGATGATGAGATTCTATAAGTTTTAAATTGAAAAAACATTAAACGAAATTGTATCTAAACGCTTATTTTTCAAAGATAGCTGCCAACAATAGATTCCGCGCTTCCTCGTTTCGATAGGTTTCTGCAAAGAGAAGATATGAAAATAAAAAAAGGGTGAGCGAAGAAAAAAAAAAAGGATGATGCAAAATGACCGTATAGAGAACCAAATATACCTCTTACTGTGTCACTGTTGAAGAATTTGTAACCTCCATAGCAAAACAGACCAGAACCAATAAGCATAAACTGCATGTGTAGAATCATGAATCAGTCATTCATATAACATGTTTCTTTCTCTTCCCCACTATGAATACGTAAGAAACTATTATACAAAAATTCATACTTGTTCATCTTTCCAGTTTCCAGGGTTCATGGGATCTTTCCAGAAGTTAACCTTGGCATCTCCATGATTACCTGCACAAATTAAATATAACCAACAATTCATATATTGGAAGAACAGATAAAAATAGCCATCTTCCCAAAGTTTAAACCTTTCCATTGTTAAAGAAAATGATCTGATAAACGTGAAACATCTGAATAGGGATTCCAAAGCAATCGCAAAGAGAGAGAGAAAGAGAGTGCTACAAGCAGCACTGGCGAGACCACGACGCTGAGCAATAGAGGCGGCTTGAGATTGGACCTTCGCAGATTGAATCTTCTGAGCTAAGCTCATGGCAGGTCGAACGAGGAGACATCGAGTCTGATTTCGTGTTCTCCGATCAAGGGAAAGAGATGATTAAGTGAAAGACGAACAGAGGGCGCCTGATTAAGGAGAAGACCAAAAGAGGACTCTTTTTTATACCTAATTGGGCACGAAACGGCGTCGCATTAACTCTTTGGAGCTGAAGCGAATTCTTTTTTTTTTTTATAATGTTATTTTTTTCGTATGTGAAAAATGTGCACAAGAGACGCAGAAGCCCTTTGGGATCAAAAATGTGTTGATTCACGAAGCAGCACATCGTCTTCTCCTTTTAAACCAAAATTCATTTCTTATGGATTACAAAACTCAAGCCAACATCCACAACAAATGCAAGGGAAACATTGTCTTTCCTCTATATCAAACTACATTAACCAACTATGAAATCCGCTGATCCCTTCAGAGTCTTTCTCGCGCGCCAATACACACCATTGGCTGTCTCTGACGTTCCCAGCTGCAATAATCACCAGAAGAAAAAAAAAACATGGTCAGTAGAGCCACTTGAAATTTAAGTCATAGATTTTGTGTATCTCTAGCCATGGTGTCAAGAATCCGCCTTACCTTCGTCTCCAATGAGTAGTAATCCTTCCACAGCTCCACGTCTTGACTATAACTTGCAACTGCAGAATCGTAAAGCTTCCGGGCATTCCTGAGACTATCTTTATCACCTTGTGATGCAAGTTTGGTCTCTATTTCAATGCAATCTTTGTATAGAACAAGACCTGGACGGGGAAGAGCCACGAACCTGCAAATTTAGGGTAATATTGGTGAGAATAGTGTGACATGTGTGACTCCAGGGAAAGAAAGAAAGTAGTAATTCACCTCTTGTATATCTCCCTTGCATTGTGGATCCCTTTTTTTTCAAGAACAAATTTTACCACTACGGAAGCGAGACAAAACTCATGGTCGCTCCCATTATTGCCTTTGGCTACCGATAGGATGGACATCTCTACAAGCTTATCAAAATAAGTTCTCTGATGAGCATAGAACTCAAAAGCCTGTGATAACATACAATTATTTTTATCAGTTTTGAGCTTATATATCAAGAAAATAGGGTAGTGTATAGAAAATATATTAGTCACATACCATAAGCCATAAACTCTCAGATTCTGAGATCGGTACATTCCTCAACGCATTTGAAAGGACCTCAAAAACTGACTGCAACTCTGCCTTAGTGGGAGAAGAGTTCGTTGAAAGTGATCCTATTTCAATGTAAACTCTTGAAAGCCACAACTTAGCTGATCCCGCAAATTTTCCAGAGGAAAGCTTTTCTGCTAGCTTCTGAGCTTCATGAGTCTTTCCCAGTTTCAAGTACAATGAAACATATTCACTAGCAAGCTCCTCGGTCAAACACCCGGTTCCATCAGCCTTTTGGTACACATTTATGAGATGTGAAATGCAATCCCCAGCCGGATTAAACGAAGCGGAAACGTCATCGTTGTTGTCGCCATTTGACCATGCAATAGTCTCCATTAAAAACTTTATATACATCTCAAACATAGAACTTGAAGTAACAGTTTGTAAAGCCTCTTCAAAAACCTGCATTCAGAAGACATGATTTAATACCTATCAGATATTGTACATTCCACTATTAAGCCTAAACAGTCCGACGTTATCAAACTAGGGAATTTCACTTCAATCAAGACTAAGAATAACTTTTTCTACGGATGTTCAGGACAACTATGGCTGCCAATTTCTTTAACAGACTTGAGCATTAAAGAATACTATCCCGTAGTTATAAGCATACGCATAAATCTCAAATTGATTTTTACCTGAATAGCCTTTTGCAATTGAGGATTCGCAAACTCTACGCCCGTCTCTTTGCTAATACAACCACACATTTCATGTCTTGCAAGCCAATTCCAGTATTCAGGATCCTTGTAAAAATCACGCTTCAGGTCACTTAGAATCGTATTGCGGATTTCATCTGAATGCGCCAAATCTGTTGCCTCTAGGATTTCCAAAAAACGCTTCCTCAATTCAAAACTAGACGGAAGAGCCTCAACGGCTCCACTATAAATGGCCTGAAGAACATTAGACCCTTTTTCTCGAAAGACATCAACTTTCTCACTCACATCCTCAACATCTTCCACATCAGAGTCGTCATTTCCTTCTTTCTCATCTAGCGACATAAACAGCTCTTTATTCTCATCTTTCCATTTTTCATCCTCGACGTTTTTCTTGTCACGCACCAAACTTCCTTTATCTTCACCGAGTGCAACTCTACGAGTTTTAAGCTTATTAAGGTAGGTGAGTTCCATCCGCAGATACTCCACCCACAAGTCTTCAGAGTTTGGACACACTCTCAAACCATTCTGCATAAGAGCACGAGCTGCAGCAACATTCAAGTTTCGATCAAATTCCCACGCCGCAGCATGCATCCACACTGCAGGCACTTTAGGATGAAATCTTATAACTTGAGCCAAGACCTACACATGTAGATGATAAAAAACAACTCAATTTAAAAATCGAAACAAACCCAACAAAGAAGTAGAAAGGATCAATTCGAAAGCTTTTACCTTTTTCATTCTACCATTCCTCTTCTGTTTGCAGAACTCGATATACCTAAACCACAAATTGATATCGCCTTTATACCTCATGGTCGCAAGCCTATAAATCTCCACAATCTTTTGCACACCGGCGAAATCAGAAATCGACTTCTTCTTTTTCTTCTCAGAATGACGCGACACCGCCTTCCTCCGCAAGCTTCGCAGCTCATCAAGCTGTGACTCGTAGTCAATGTAGGCTAAAAAGTCCTGTTTGAGTGGGCTCGGCCGCTTTAGCCGGTACTCGAACTTACGGCGCTGCTTAACGATCTCTCGAATCTCTGCATTCGTGAAGATTCCTCTACGTTCTAGGTCATCAAAGTCTTCAACCATCCGCTCGAGGCGGTACTGAACAACGTCCGCCATTGCTAGTTGCTGCTTACTCTGTTTCGGCGGGGACTTCAGCGGTTAGGGCAACTCTTAATACTTGGTTCTTTTTAATGGGCCGTTAAAAAAAGCCCATTTTTGTTTATATGTTCTCTGGTTTTTAACGGCCCATTGTTAACTATCGCTAAAGCTATTTGTTGTTCTCGGAAAACAGAGAAAGCTTGCAGGACGACGATGGCGCTCTTCGCTCTCTCGTCATCTCTTTCTTCCTCTTCCTTCTGCCGTAATTCTCGGATTCCTTCTATACGTTTCTCTCCTGTGTCCCGTGTTTCTCATCCTAATGTTTATAAGCCAACATTTGCTCCGCAAAAGTGTTTCAATTCCGGCGCGAGCCTCCATGGTTTTGGGGTTCCGGGTAAGTTTCCGAGTGTTAGGCTTAGGGTTTCGACGAGGTGCGAGAAAGAAGATGCACAGAACGGTGAGATAGAGGATGAGGCGGAGCTATTTGCGAGGCGAGAGAGCACGATGCCGGATAGATTCAGACACTTGACCAAAGAAGCTCCGGACAGTCCTATTAGATGGCCCTGGTTTTTCGGTACGTTTCCGTGTTGGCTTATGTCTTAGTTTTGAGGGGCGTTGTGTCAATAATTTTAGTCTTAGTTGGTGATTGATAACAACGCAAATGAACAGAATGGTCAAATTTCTGGATCTCAAATTTCGTATTGATGCTGTTTTTGTTCTTAATTTCTGACTTTTGAGTTTGATTACCTCTTGTGTCCTCTCTGAGTTTGTAAATGTTGTTGTTTTACATTTTTTTAAATTGTTTCAGTTGTGTCTATACCTTGTTGCGTAGTTGGAATAAGGAATATATCCATCGAGTAACATGAATGATCTTTTGATAGATTAAATAACATTATGAGTCTTCTGTTGCAGCATTGGGATTTCTCGTGTATGCGTGGAGAGCAGTCTTGTTTGAACTATCCAACTGGAGAAAGGCGACTTTCGCCATCATTGGATTTCTTGGAGACCTTTCAAAGTTCGCATTGGCCCTCGTCTTCCACTTTATAGGTGATCCCATCACTTCTCTTATCGCTCTCATAGAGACTGCAACCTACAGTATCCGGGCGTTCTACTCCGGGATTGTGGCTTACACGCCAGTGAGAGAGTTAACCACGGTGATCCTTCTTGCATCCTCTGTGCTTGCAATAGGAGAAGCAGTTTCACCAAACTCGATCACCAAGCAGCCGTATGTTGTAACTCTTGCGGGTCTCTTGGGGTATGCAGCTGTGCAGAGTTACATCTCTGAGCCGTTCTTCTGGACTGTCTTGGTTGGTCTGTATGGATACTCTCGGTTGATAAAGAAGAGAGACGATGTAACATCGGCGCTTCCTTCTGCAGCTGTTCTTGCAGGAGTAGGGGAGCCATGGGTTAGAGTGGTGGCCATCACAGGGTATCTGGCTCTAGCCATGTATCACAATTCAACTAAGACCTCAGAAGAAGAAGAAGGACAGAGCTTAAGGAGGGCACCACCAATTCCGTTGTTGGCTGCAGCCTTGGCCATTGGCGTCCGGCTTGCTGCAAAATGGGCTGGTTACAGACACTTGACTTGGATGATTGTTTGATTCTCCGCTCGGTTGTTTCTGGAAAAATAAAATAAAATTTTGAGACCAACAAAAGTAGTTTGTGTTGTACTTGTAGCTCACCCCCCATGTATTAAGGGTCCAACTGGTGACCATAACTGAAGAAAGGAATGATAGGGAATATGATATTCCTTTCCATTCCCAAATATTTTTACCATTTAAATGGAATTTTTATTACACATAATTCCTCTCTATTCCTTCTTATAGGAGGAATTATAGAACAAATATATTCCTTATTAAATTTGATAGGGAATAGGGAATGATAAGGAAATAATAAATAATGGTAAAAATATATTGTTTGACATCAATTTAATGTGAATTTGTTCCATTTTTTGTTCTTGTTTTTTAGTTACCATTTATTATGATAATTTGTTCCATTCCTTCTCTACATTGATTCCTTATATTTTTTTCCCTATGATTCCTTTTATTCTTTTTCCTTATCATTCCTGTTATTCTCCAAATAGTCACCAGTTGGACCCTAAGAGAATTTCTGATACAGACCAAAAACACACTTTCTTCTGCTGTTTGGAGACTAGTATTACACATGTAGTCTCTTAATTACGGTCCAATCAGCCCATTTAGAGAATTTAATGGGTCGGAGAAGTCCAAATAGACTTCGGCCATTTAAACTTACATCTATTAGGGCATTACAAGGACCCTATATAATGGAGTCACCTTCCTCTTTCATTACATCTGATCTCACTCTTCAGCTTATTGTTTCGTTTTACAGAGTTTAGATTTTGTTATGGTTTTTGGTTGCGCTGGTGATTTTTTGTTATTTGTTGGTTTTGCTGGAGAAAGGATGCGTTTTTGTTTTTTAATGCCTCACTCACCTTTAGCTTATTTTCGAGAATACTCAACGAAAATAAATGCTAGTCATCGAGGCAAATATTGAATCGCGGTGTGTAAACGTGGAGGCAGACTTGTTTATCATATAGTTTAGCTTCTAAAATTATCCGCTAAACCACTTGTTTTCGTATCTACCTTGAAGTTTTTGTTTTTTCGTTTTTATTCAGATCTGGATTCGTTTGAGATTGCCGAATTATTAACAGAATCATTTGGAACATAATTAAGAGTGGCATGTTCTAAAGCTGGTTGAAAAAGATGTCTTATCCGATATGAAATGGGTCGATGGCTAAATTAACGAAAGAGAGGACAACTTGAAGTCGTTGTATTTACAATTGCGACTCTAGTGAGCTTTTGATGTGCATTAATTTAAAAACTGTGCCTTTTCCAAATCTCGCTCTGCCAGAAAAGTAAAAGTTGAAAACTTTAATTTTGTGGACAAACTTGAATCTATGCCCACTTTTTTTTTGAATCTATGCCCACTTTCCTTCGAAAAGACATGGTCATATTGTTTACTCCGTGATTCTGAAGGTCTCCGAAGTTATTAATATATATATTGCTTCTCGAAAGTAATGTAAAATCACAGATAATGCCATGTTCTTGTCCTGTAGCTCCTAAACCAATCCAGGAATTAGATTTTTAATCAAATCGAGTTCCACATGACACATGATGCTAGCAATTACCAATTTTTGAAATGATCAATTAGCAGAAAAAAATTGACTTGCATCCAGCACATCTGGAGACACTACTTGCGTTTATAAATAATGAAAGACTTTGCGTTGCTTCTGATCCACAAGTAATAGTCACTCCTAAAGCTAATTAACTAATAACTTGAACTTGGTCAGAGCTTCCCAGATCTTGTACTTTTCGCTCCCAGAATCAACCCTCTTTTTCCTCAGGCTTCCCACCAAAATGACATTTCTTTCCTCTCTCGGAAGAGCGTCTCGATCTTCCCCACTTGCATCTAAGCTCCTTCTTCTTGGCACTCTCAGGTTTCACCGCGTTCGATGTTCACTCTTTTAATCGGTTTCCAAAAGTCGGGACCTTTAAAGTTATAACCTTTAGTGTTTCGACTTCGACCTTCTTGTCTGATTGACCTGTTTCTGCAAATTTATTGCTTTTTCTTGACTTGGAGTTCATGTTGTGCTCTTGGCGCCATTTTTATCTGCACCTTGAAAACGATAACTTTCTGGATTAGCTTATTGAGAGTTTGTGTATTTTATACAATATTTGCAGCGGCGGGAGTTTAGTGGCGTACTCAGATTCTAACGCAGAAGCGAACAAAACGCAGCAGCAGCAGAAGAAGAAAGTGGTCGTACTCGGCACTGGATGGGCTGGAATAAGCTTCCTTAAAGATCTTGACATATCTTCCTACGATGTTCAGGTTGTTTCTCCGCAGAACTACTTTGCCTTTACGCCATTGTTACCCAGTGTCACTTGTGGAACTGTTGAAGCTAGAAGCATTGTTGAGTCTGTCCGTAATATAACAAAGAAGGTATCTTGTATTTCTTCTCTTTCAAACTCTACATACAGGCATAATCATCACCTGCTAACTTTATAACCTTGTTGTGTTGGCAGAAAAATGGGGAAATTGAATTGTGGGAAGCAGATTGTGTTAAGATCGATCCACCCAACAACAAGGTTCAATGTCAACCAGTTTTCAAGGATGATCCTGAAGCAAGCCAAGAGTTTTCCCTTGAATATGACTACTTGATCATAGCAGTGGGAGCACAAGTCAACACATTTGGCACTCCTGGTGTTCTTGAGAACTGCCATTTTCTTAAGGTAAGCTTTATGGTTTTAACTGTGAGGAATATCATTCTCCCAGTTTCCTACTTCATATCTTCAAAACGCATCCAGGAAGTAGAGGATGCACAGAGGATTCGTAGAGGAGTGATCGATTGCTTTGAAAAAGCAGTGCTTCCTGGTCTCACTGAGGAACAAAGAAGGACAAAGCTTCATTTCGTTATTGTGGGAGGAGGTCCTACTGGTGTGGAGTTTGCAGCTGAGCTACATGACTTTATTATAGAGGATGTCACCAAAATATACCCTTCAGTTAAAGATCTCGTGAAAATAACACTCATTCAATCTGGAGATCATATTTTGAATACGTATGTGTAAAACACAATGGAGTTTATCGCCACTTTCTTCATGCCATAATTGTGGAGTTTGACTAGTTGGTTGTTGTTATAGGTTTGATGAACGAATCAGTTCGTTTGCAGAAGAAAAGTTCTTGCGAGACGGTATTGATGTTCAAACGGGAATGCGTGTGATGTCTGTATCTGATAAAGATATATCTGTGAAAATCAAATCAAGTGGAGAAGTCGTGCGTATTCCTCATGGATTCATATTGTGGTCCACTGGAGTTGGAACTCGTCCAGTAATCAGTGACCTCATGGAGCAAGTTGGCCAAGGAGGCAGACGAGCCTTGGCTACCAACGAGTGGTTACTGGTGAAAGGATGTGAGAATGTGTATGCTCTTGGAGATTGTGCTTCCATAGCTCAACGCAAAATCATGGTATGTGAACCCATTATTAAACTGTTGATATTGTTCGCTTTATTTTCATACATACATGCTGAATCTTATCATGTTTTGCGATTGCTTTAGGAGGATATTGCGAATATATTTAAAGCTGCAGATGTGGATAACTCAGGAACCTTGACCGTGGAAGAATTACAAGACGTGGTTGATGATATCCTTGTGAGGTATCCGCAGGTTGAGCTCTACCTGAAAAGCAAGCATATGAGGAATATAAAAGATCTGCTGGCAGATTCGGAAGGAAATGCAAAGAAAGAAGTAGACATCGAGGAATTCAAATTGGCTCTCGCTGGGGTTGATTCACAGATGAAGAGCCTGCCTGCAACTGCTCAGGTACTTAGTGACTTCACTGATGCATTTAATCATGGGTTTTGTTGAAGAACTCAGCCTCAATGGTCTCCTTGTCTGCTTCGTATAGGTTGCTGCCCAGCAAGGTTCTTATCTTGCAAAATGCTTCAACAGGATGGAGCATTGTAAAGAGAATCCAGAAGGTCCTAAGCGCTTCAGAAGTGGCGGGCATCACCAGTTTCGCCCCTTCCAGTATGCGAAAACCTTATAAACTTAGGACCTTGCATCATCCTTCAAATATAAAGATGAAACATCGTTTGCTTGATGACAGGTACAAGCACTTTGGACAATTTGCTCCATTGGGAGGAGACCAAGCAGCTGCGGAACTACCTGGAGACTGGGTTTCAGCTGGAAAAAGCACCCAGTGGCTCTGGTATTCTGTTTATGCCAGGTAAATACTGACAAACTGTATTATTCTCAAAAGTAAAATGCATAGAATCTAAGGGAGAAAAATATGAAACACAAATGATTTGGTGAATGAAGCAAGCAAGTTAGCTGGCGAACAAGAGCTCTGGTGGTGTCGGACTGGACAAGGAGGTACATATTCGGGAGGGATTCAAGCCGCATCTGAAGCCAATACTGCATTTTGTAATGTGTTCGTGAGATTGTTGTCTTCAGGGGAAACCAAGATTCAGTGTCTCTCTTTGTTGTGTGTTTTTGTTGTACAGTCCATAAAACTGTGTACTCCGTGTGATTATAATATAACATTCTTATTTGTGAGCGACAAAACAAAACTTTTTTGCAAGAATCTCTCTTCATGGGCTTCATTTACAGAAAATAACAAAACTCACAATCTTCATGTGTGTATTTAGACATTAAGCATCCCAACAAAGATGCACATACATTCTTGCATGCTTTACACTCCAGATGCAAGCATAGAACAAATCGAAACAAAACCAAATTCACAACAAGAGTTGTGGTTTCTTTACTCAAAATGATAACTGGGTCATTCATTCTTCAAACCTCAGAAGCTGGCAAAAGGTGAAATTACGATTCTTGCTTTCCAATTCCGCAACTCTTTTGGCAGCACCTGAATCACGAGGGCTCTCTCCTAAACGGCGTAGAGTTCTGATCTTAGGCAGCTCCTTACCTATAGGAGTCTCATCGTTCACACCACTGCTATACAGATCCACTTCACTTGGAATCTCCCATCTCTTCTTCACTCTACCCTGGCTCTTGCTACTTTCATCAGAAGCTCTTCTCTTCTCCGACCTGTGATTCTCTTTCTCTTCGTTCTCAGGCAACGACCTTTTCCTAATATCTTTCTCCGCCGTCTGCGTTTTGTTCATCTGACTGTACCTGCTAGCCACCACTCTTCCTGGTTTCAATGGTTTCCTTAAAGCACCGTTCTTTTCCTCGTCTTTGAACAGCCTCTTTGGTTGGATTGTTGAGAGAACACCTTCTTCTTTCCTCACAGCTCTCTTTGACCCCACCGTCGTCGCTGCTTGCTTCTGAGCCACCGTGATTTTCGATGCAGCTTTGCGAGATCTCGGGCTCAGGCTCAAACTCGTTCGACCCCTAGATTTCGTCACTTTCCTCTCCTCGATGCCAGGAAGCTTAAAGAAACAAGACTTGCGTCGATTCTGAGCCGATTGAAGAGGAGTCACCGTTTCCGATTTCTTCGCAGCAGAGAATATCTCCCCTGGTCCCAAACTAACACCTCTGCGAGTGGTGGCTCTTGATTTGGAACCTGTGAAAGACGAATCGTCGAATTTGACTGACTGTTTCTGAGATTCCATGAACTTAGCCGGAACGATTCTTCCTCTTATAGTAATGCTTCTTGCGGTTTGCTCAGCCTTCTCTAATCGGAGCGATTCCAATCTGGTCGATAAACGGCCGATGTCCTTTTCTACCTCTTCGATCTCTGCATCAATATCACGTTCTTCACGCCTTTTCATCTGATCCGCGACGGATTTGGATTTCACGGTCTTGGATTTTTCCGACGGAGCTTCACACAAGGCCCTCGGTTGCTTTTCCTGAGCATTATTACCGGAGCGAATCGAATCGGTGGTGAAAGAGACTGAGGATTTGAGCGAGGAGGAAACCGAAATTGGGATCTGATTGTCCATGCTACAATCGGAATCGAACGATTCGTTGATGAAATCGGGAGGGAGGTTAGACCAAGAAGGTTCGATTGCGGAAGTAACATTGGAATCTCCATCATCGAAGGCAGCGTTGTTCCAGATCTGAAGGTTGGGAGCGTTGAGCGTCTCTGTATGCTCAATTGAAGACATTTTCAGAGCAATCGATCTCTTTGTACAAGAAAGTATGGATTGGGAGTGAATTGGGCTCTGAGGAGGGTGAAGAAGGAGTGAGTATTTCTTCAGGATTATTTGACCGTTGGAAGAGGAGACGTTACTCCATTCAGGGAGCGTCGTGAGATTTAGACCGTTGGATTAAGTTAGATACGCTCCGATTTTATTCAAAGCAAAGTTATGCTACATAAATCCACACATGGGCCAAAACCTAACACAACACTATATATTTGGGCCTTTGGCGCCTCACATAATTTGGGCCTACGAATATATAATCTCCGTTTGATCTGAGATGAAAGTGCATAAATTATGTTATTCTCTGTGTTTTTAAACCCGGACCGGACCGGCGGTCAGACCAGGTTGGACCACGAACCAAAAGTATAGTCGGATTGAGTTGAAAACCGGATTAAACCATCAAAAACCGGAAATTAAATAAATCAATAAACCGTATTTAAACGAATTCAACTAAAAAAACTTAAATCATGTTTTTTTTTACGTTTTTTAATAAATAACAAATCAATTTGTTTTTTGTTTAATTATTTTTACTTTAAAAATAGAAGATAAGGTTTCTAAATCATAACTCTTTTATATATTTTTTTAATTTATATACAATTATTTGAAAAAATTTTATCAAACCCGATTAAATCTGGTCTAACCATACTAACCCATAATCCAAAAACTCTAACCATACTAACCCATAATCCAAAAACTCTAATCCAAGAACTCTCCCGATTCGATCAGCGATCCGGTTTTAATAACTTATTCTTCTGGCAATTTGATATAGACATGATTCAATTATGGCAACCATAAGAAATTAATAACTTTATGGAGTGACTGACTTGTCTGGTCCCATTGGACAATGATGTTTTTGGAATCTTTTGGGATTATTATTATTTAATTTTAGTTGAGAATCAAATTCACTGTGGATAATGTCGAATTGGGTGGTAGATCACAATCAAGATTTCAGAAAATCGTTGATGAGAAGTTGGAAAAGCGACGATGTTCAGATATTGAAACAGAAACAGAGTTCTCATAAACGAACGCTTGCTTTTGGTCTTTATGAACATTTCTCTTCTAATATTCACATAGGAGACTAGAATACACCAAACTATATACAGTTATCATCGGAAAATCCAACTCGCTTTCTCCGACTCAGTGAGTCCTTTAACGAGTCAGCATCAATCCATCATCAACTGTGGATGGATAAGACCTTTAGATTTAGCCTTGGCTCCAGCAGTTGAGGTACATGACTTGGCGAAGAGATTCATCGGGAGTGGAAGAAGAGGAACGCCGTCTATCTTCAGAAGGAAGACCGTCGACGGGGACATCAGCGGCGGAGAGAGGGCGGAGATCGGAGGAAAGACGGCGTTGAAGGCGGTGAGCGGAACAGAGTCCGGTTTTCAACTTGACGCCGTGATCGGCGTTTCCTTGAACAGCCACAAACGACGCTGCCATCCAAACCTTGTTAAAATAACTCATCTTTTTTAGTATTAAAAATTGTTCTTAGATCTTCGAAAATGGAAGCTTTGAAGCTGTGTGTAAATTGGAGAGAGGTTAAGCAGATTCTTTGATTTCTTTGGAGGAAGAAGAAGTAGAAGGTGAGGTGAGTACTTATAGCAGAGGAAATATTGGCCTGAGGGTAAAATAGTAACTTAAGGAAGATCTAAAATAAACGATACCGTGTGGTATAGATAAGTGGAATCCAGGTTTTTGGAAGCAATACGAGATGTGGAGGGTTATCTCGTGCGCATGCAAAATCTCGGGAGAAATGGATGAGTAAGGAGGTATAGGAATTAGAAATAAACAAGTGGCGGCCAAAGAGGGTCCTATCCTCAAAGATGACTAGATGAGTCACCTCTCTTCTTCAATTATGATGGGACTCGTTGTCTGGGTCCCACCCATGTTGTGTATCTTGGCGTTTTTATAAGTGACCTCTGAGTAAATTTTTCAATTTGTCCCTTTATCTGTTTTGTTTTTTTATAAGTGAGACGATAGGAGGCCCAAAACAAAAACTGAAATGATATGTGGGCTGCCTAGAGTGTAGAGTAGAGTCCACGAGGGGTTTGATGATGTGGATGCCGGTTATTGGGTCGTCACGTGCCCCCTTCACGTGGTAATTTCCGTCCATCAATGCTTCTTGTCACTTTGCTTCCGGTTATTTTAGTGAGTTTTCTTTATTGCTAAGCGATCTCTCAACTCAATTTCGCAGAAAGGTAATGTATATAGGATACCTTTGAGACTGTAACATAAAAAAAAAAAAAAAAAGGATTTTAAAAGAGCATCATAATCCGCTAATTATATATTAAAGTCTTCAGCCATGTAAAGAGAGAATTTAAAGAGATTTTGAATTTTATAACTTAAGCTTTCCCTTGATACTGGGTTACGTAAAGCAGGTCGCATCTAATACGACTCTGTTCAGTCTGTTGTGATCTTCTTCGTTGATGCATCTATCTTCCAATTTTGGCAACCAGGCTTTATTAATCCGATTTGGATTAATAACCTGTGTAGTATTAATGATATGTTCATGATAATAGGAGTTAGCTTTGTGAGGATAAGCCATGTCTGCTTCTACTTGGACTACCTTATTGCCTTTGACTATAACCAGTTCTACTTTTTCTTTTCTTTTCTTTTTGGAACAATATATTTCAAATTTGAATCAGATAATACTATAAACAACATGATTCCATGGCTATTATTAGCATGTTACATATATTGATATTATGAATTGGTCAAGTCAAAACGCAGTTCACCTTAAAGAAAAGGAAAGGAAAAAGAGGAGACGTGTGATCAGGTTAATAGCTGCAACGAAAGAACTAGAACGCTTTCTATGAGAAAATGGAAAAGAACATCAGAGACCAACAAGGCTTAATACCGATGAAAGGGAGAAGGTAACCCGTAAACTGGCACATTCACTTGTTTTTTGGGTTGTGTAGATTAAAAACTTGTGTGGATTATGGTTGTCGTGCAGCTTCTGAAGAAGTTCCACAAACTTGTGTGGATTCTGTTTCTTGACACCCAAGTTATACTTTCAAGTGCCCTCGGTTTCTAAATAGCACTGTTCTTATTTTTCTAGACTTGGGATCTTTAGTACTATAATCATTTTAAAAGCTTGAGAGCTGCTTGAATTTAGTATGGAATCACTTGTGCCTTTGCTTCAAAATACTACGAAACTAAAGTTCCTTATAGATGATTATGTACGTATTCTCTTCACCTTCAGACTAAGAAGCTGGCTTGCCCAAGTTAAAACGTGTAATAGCAATTGTTGCTTCTCAGAGATTACCATCAATCCCCTGAAGCCTTTATTTCATGGAGCGAATCGAGCTCTGATCCCCAACTCATGAATACAAACCAAAATTTCGTTTAGTAGAAAGAAGTGAAGTTATGTGCTGAAAATAAGACATTGGAAAAGCCCGAGAAGCAAAAATTGTAACTCAAGAATTGTTAGAAATAGTGCTGAAGGAAGAGATGGTGCGCAAGTTCTGGTAGAGACGAGAAAAAATAAGAGATACTCTGTTATGGTACAGTTACAATTTTTTCTGAGGTAATGTACATAATAATCATATTGATACATTGTGTAATGTCCCACATTAAAAAGAGAAAGTGACAAATACAAATACAAAAATTCATATGATATATTTATGCAATGTCTCATTAATAGAAAGAGAAACAGACAAGAATTATATAGAAACAAAAGACTTGACACCACCAAATACTACTCCTAGCTCTATCTCCCCTTTGGAGATGGCTACAATAACTCCTACACACACTCACCGACACAACACACACACACACACACACAAATTCACAAACAATTAAGGAGGAAGAGGAGAGAACGCATGAGCCGTTGTTGGATTAGGATGAACCAGGCTATTAGTCTCGCCATCCTATGGCCAGCAGTCACTCTCTCTCTCTAACTCTCTCTTCAAACAAACAAAAAAAAGATCACAAATATAAAAATAGTGGAAATATTAGTCTTTTCAGAGGACGGGAGAGAAGTTGAGGCGGGAAGTGTAAGTTGCTTTGGGAGCCCAGTTTCTGGGGACGACGTCGGTGGCAGAGAGTGTTTTACCGGAGGACAAAGTGGTGAGCTTAACGGAGAATGGTCCTTTAAGGGGTCCTCCGATGATGCACCAGTTAGCTCCCCATACGTGCTTCATCTCTAACCACTCCATCGATCCTGCCTGCACCATTACCATTCAACACCAAAAAAAAAAAAAAAAAATCTTTAGACTTGAATCTTGATTCTGTTTTTATTGTTACTTTAGTAGACTTGAGTAGTGTGCCTTTCTAGTTGGTCAACAAAGAAGGACCATGATTGTGCGCACTCCACTAAGACTTTTCCACCTTTTATTTAGTATTATTATACACAGGAAAAGTAGACTTCGAAGTGGAAGTGACTCAGTAAGTGGCTTTGTGATATATAAGAAGAATAAAGGGAAATTAAAGTCTAAAGAGTAAAGAGGTAAAAGAGTTTGGTTATAAAGGAAGAGAGAGTACTTGGCGTATATGCATGGAGCCAATGTCGCCTTCTCCGTCTTCGAACTCAACCAGTAGAGACAACCAAAAATCAGTTGATCCTTCGTTTACATGAAACGCTATGTTCTTCTTTCTATATTTGCATGCCGTCCTTATGCAAAATAAATTTTTTTTGAAAAAGACCAGTGAGAAAGAGAGCAGTAATGGAATTGGTCAACGGTCAAAAAAGATAGAGTTACCAATAAGCACGAGATCGCCGTTAAAGTGTTTTCCTCTCCATTCCCCATTTCACACACATTGCAAGAAAATTCTAATAATTTTTTAACCTTCTCACTCTTCAGTCTCTTTTACCATTTACTAGAAAACTATATACTAATTCCTATTTTTCATTTAATTCCCTCGTGCACTGTCACGAGTTAGTTATTGAAAAAGAATAATACACATTAAATAAATGAGAATAATAAAACATAATGTACCGGCGATAAATGACGGGAATGAGGCCACGGTTGCGGAGGGGACCAGACTCTCCGGAGATAGCCAAGCGACCAAAAGCAGAGCCACTTAGATCAAAGTGAGTGTTGGTTTTAGAGCAGCCGGGACACTCGTCGGTGACGATGACGGTGACGGCTCTCCGGGAACAAATGTTCCTGTCCAAACACCGAACCTTGTAACAAGCGCCACAGCCTTCACCGTTCTTGAATAGGATAGGATTCACAGCTCCAACCCTCGCATGGAACGGCTTCACATCCACCAACGAACCATACCCACACGCTCCTCCTGTATTTTTATTTTTATTTTTAACACAATTCCGGTATATATATATATAATTAGATAAGTTTCTACTTTACACTCACTAGAGTGTTGACTGTGTGAGTGTGAAGTGACAGTTAAGTATGTATTTGCAGTAATTACCGTCGCTACCGTCGCCGTTGGGGCTTCCATACCAGGTGGCCACGGCGGGAAGCCAATGAGCGTTCGACACGTGTCGATTGGTGGTCACCGAGGCGGAGGAGTTTATGAGAAGCTGCAGGACAATGCAGAGTGTGGCTAAGATGATGACCGGAGAAGGGAGCTGCATTTCTGCCGGAGATATCACCTGTGTCGCCGGAAACGGTCACAGTGGGAAAGGGAAAGAAGTTAGTTTTGCCGACAGTGAGAGAGAGAGTGAGTGAGTTCTGTTTTTAAGTGCAATTGATATGTCAGTGTTGTTTGTTATATAGAGGAAAAAGGAGTAAAAAAGCAAACTGCTTTTCTGTGGTTTTTCTCTTTTTGCTTAGAGTTTCTTTACCGGTTTAGTCCCTTTGCCGTTGCTCTTATTTACGGTAAGATGCCACTTGAATGGGACCCACCGACAGTTAAGGCGTCGATTTCGCACGATCCAGCGAGTAATTGTCAGGGGACCTAAAGGGGTGTTTTGGTCAATTTATGAGATTCGACCGTTGAAATCTCCCGCAGATTCTTGTGGAGGAGATGAGGAATCCGTTAAGACACTGACTTGCCCTTGCCCAATCTCTATCCTTCCCTCTTTTTTTTTTTTTTCCCTATATATATTTCTCGTTGTTATGTTTTGAGATTATTTTTTTAATCATTTCATATATTGATATTTTAGTTATAAAGAGAGCAAATCTAATTTTCAACACATTTTATATAACTACTACTGTTGATGTATGTATAGTCTATGACTCTATGAATGATTGAGTGTAGACTGTGTAGTTGAATGGAGGAATGGATATCTTATATAATTTACGCAAAGGAAAACTTGGTGGCCAATCTCGTGCGTACAACGCATAAATCATTGCATTGTGAATATATATACTATGATAATATAGGTAACGGTTTTTGCGCTAATTCTTATGCTGTAACGAACAACCACCTTTTTTAGCGTACTAATGACATATTAGCTTCATTTTTTGTAATTATTATTAACTTTGGTGGGGGCAGATAATAACTATGGATTGGTCACTCAGACCTAAATCTGATTTTAAAGGGTGGATCCACGATTTGTTTTATTTTATAACAAAGCACATGACCAATTTTCTACTTTGTATTATACGACCCTACATTTATGTGATGTTACTTTCTTAAAGATATGAGAGGAAAAAAAAACAAAGCTATGTGGAAAAAATGTGTATAAAGGAGATTTTTGTAGCGTCAATTACGGTTGGTTTTATTTTCAATATGATTTATAGAGGGACATGGTGGTATTTAAAGCGTTAGTGCCAAAAAAACATATATAATTAGACATGACTGATTTGTTTAGTGTAGGGCGTGTAGGTACCCAAATGATGCTTGCAAAATTTTCACCTCAAGATTTCACTGCATGCATCATCTTTTATCAAAAAATTTCAATCATTGGATATTACAGAAAACTTACTAACCGTTCGTCGATTTGTACCTTATTAGTGTTCCATATTCGTAGTTCCCAATTACTGTTAGGTGGACGATAATTGAGTGTGTGAACAAGAGGTAGTATTAAGTCAAAATGTGCATGACAACTGATTCACATGAGATAAACGAATAATTAATTAGCTGATTTAAAAACATTCGGAACTTGTACAGTTCATATTAGAATCAGATAACTATACTTACCAGTTACCACCAACCAAACTCTCTGTACTCCTCTTCCCATTTATACTTGCACATTTCAGAGTTTGACGTTATACAAGTAACAAGTTCCCATTTACACAAAATAGACTTTGGCTTTCAAAATTGTAATCTAAATGTTGAAAAACTTCGTTTCAAACAGTGATTGATGATGTAATTACAACTCGTTTTGAGCCACATCATCAATAAGTAGTTTTGTTCCTTTTCGATCTTAGTTTTCAAAGAAAAATTTTCGTTTCTAAAGTCTACCTCTTGTAAAAACAGGGTTTGTCAGAAGTATTCTCATTGATCAACAAAAGAGACGTTCCTTGTACAATAGAAGCGGAAATGAAATAATTTAAAACTTGTCAAAGAATGTAAGGAAAAAGTTCGTAATAAACGAAAAAGAGGCTCATACAACAACCTTAGTGGGGATCGAATTCAGACTTTATACTTAAAAACTTGCGAACCAGTTCAGCATCAAGTGACGAGTATGCTCTGTCCCCGCAATTACAAGTCTTAGAATGATTGATCTTGCATGTTCATTACTAGTGTTTCCCTTGGGATTACAAAAGAGAATGTTTGCTTCTTACAGATTTTATAAGGAAACAAAAACAATCTGAACGAAGGTTAAAGACGATGATGCTCTGCTTCCTCGTCTTGTTCTGTTACAAGCCGCTAATTAAGACAGCCTCTCACATGGGCTTTACTCTGTTTGGGCCAGACAAATTGTTTCAGCCCAACTCGAATCCTAGTTCTATTACCTCTTTAAACCGGCAACGAGTACTAAACCAGATGGAATTGAACCCAAATTCTCACAGCAACAAACTGATCCGCTACAAATAGCTTTGTCTATTTATTTTTTTTTATAGCTTTGTCTATTACCCAATCGCAAAGCATATATATTTACAAGAATCATTAACTTTAAGTCTAAAATGAAAATGCAAAACATGTTTATAGCCTAAACAAGAAAACAAGATTGGCAAGTTACTCATACACACACAAAAAAAAAGTTACTCATACACGGGTTGAATCTCCAAGATAAATAAACTTAAGGGGTTGAATTGAATGTCGAAGATATAGACAGCTAAGCAGTTGAATTAAAAATTAAGGAATTAGTGTCTTATTTAAATTTTTATAATTAAAGAACTAAAATGTTGAAGTTTATCCATTCTCGCCGAGACTCATCGGGACGGGAGCATCTCTTTATAAAAAATTCGAATCTCCACACCTATAATAAAACTCAAGAGTAGATCTCAACCGTTCAATGCTTTATCATCTAAAATCTGACGGTTAATGACCGAGGTACACCTTCTTTCCGTGAATACTAAATACAAGAAGAATTCTAATAGTTTGACGAGTAAAGGACAAGGTTTCTTCAATTTCGGTTAACTTCGTCTTTCTTCTTTCTCCTCAGCCATTGCTCTGAATTCATTTCTCGTCGTTTCTTCTCGATTTCCCGTCAATTCGGATTCCCAAGAGAGTTTTGTCCGCGAGTTCCGCGTGAAAGACATGAAAATGTTGGCGATGGACTCGCGATCTTCTCTCCATCTCCATCGCTCCATGGCTCGCGTTGACCTTTTTGCCGGTGTTCGAATGAAACGATTCCCCACAAGTCCTGTTCCGAATACGCCTCGAATATGTGGAAGTATATTCTGTTGATTCGGCTCTTCTCTACTTGGTACCTCTAGTGATTTGTTTTATCTGAATTTCGAGATCCAATCGGAGCCGTGATACCCGTTAGCGTCTTGTGTAGTCTGTTTTTTCTAGGAATTGTTTGGAATTTATTCGTTTGGATTTCGAAAATTGTCTCTCTTTAATGTTCTAGTGGAATTGTGACTCCTTAGGGTTTGTTTCGACTGTACAACTATTAGGGTTTGTTGTTCATAGGAGAATTGTGGAATTGGGGTTTTTAAAAAAAAAAAAATTGTGAAGTTGTTTGCGTCTGCTGAGTCTCTGAATGGCTGAGAGTAAAGAATTAGGGTTACCAAAGACTGCTATTAGCTTGAAAGAGCAATTGGCGAGAACTACTCTGAGGAATTTGAGGTCACAGGGGCACACGTACATTGAGCTACGTGAGGATGGGAAACGATTTGTATTCTTCTGCACTTTGTGTCTTGCTCCTTGTTACAGTGACGCGATTCTGCTTGGACACTTGAACGGAAACCTTCACAAGGAGAGGTTGTCATGTGCTAGGATCACACTTCTTGGTGAAAATCCGTGGCCTTTCAATGATGGTGTCCTTTTCTTCGACAGTTCAACCGGAGAAGAGGAGAAAACTCTAATCTCTGATGGTGAAGGTGTTACCGGTCCTTTGCACCATTGCAGTGACAATGAAAGATTTGCTATTGTCACGTATGATGAAAACAGAACGTGTGAATCACAGGGAGATAATCAACCTGCTGCAGGCATTGATGATGAACCTAATCACTGTGCAGAGAATCTGGTGATCTCTAATTTGCTTATCAAGGAGAAAACGCTTGATGTGGAAGCTAAATTCATTGGTTTTGGCCGAATAGCTGCTAGATTGTTTGAAACAAAAGGACGCACAACTTGGATTGATAAACTATGGTGCGAGTGGTTAGGAGAGGAGAGTCCTCCGGATGAGGAGAAGGCTACGGTCCCAGAGCATGACTTTGCTATTGTCACATTCTCCTACTTTTACAATTTGGGTAGGCTGGGTTTGCTCGCCGATCCGAGCCGTCTTCTCACACTTAGTCAGTCAGCAGAATCAGGGAACGGCGAGGACAATGGGAGGAAGAGAAAGAAGTCTTTTTCGGATCCAGAGGACACCAGTGAATCTCTGTGTAATCAGTATGACTCTTCTGAGGAGGTTTCTTCAGCTCGTAATTCAAACTCGTCAAGAGCTCTAATAGCTGATTACGATGATCATCTCGTGAACAAAAGAGTCATCAAGAACAAATCGGTAAGACGGGAGCTTAGGAAGCAACAGAGGATATTTTCTGATAGAATATGCGAAGTCTGTAAGCAAAAGATGCTCCCAGGGAAAGATGCGGCAGCAATACTAAACATGAAGACAGGAAAACTTGCGTGCAGCAGCAGGAACCGCCTGGGAGCGTTTCACCTATTTCACGTGTCTTGTGTTGTACACTGGTTTCTCTTCTGTGAGACTGAAATACTTGGGAGCAAGATGGTGAGTGGAAAAGGGAAAAAGAGATGCACAAAGCAGAGTGGCGTGAAGTGGAATGAGTTGGTAGGCGATGTGAGCTGGCAAATATTCTCGGTGTTTTGTCCAGAATGCCAAGGCACTGGCATAAACATTGAAGGGGATGTGATTGAGAGAGACACGTTTCCGCTTTCTCAGGTATGTATGTGATTCACTCACTCACCTAAAGAGCTTTTTTTTTTTGGCTAATGAGTTAAATCTAACATAATGTGATGTGATATAGACATGGAGGTTTGGGGTGAAAGTGAGTGAAGGTCGAAAAGCATGGGTGAAAAATCCGGAAAAGTTGGAGAATTGCTCAACAGGTTTTCATTTTCCGCAGCAGGATGAAGAGTTGGTTAAGGGTCAGGTAATGTTATTGCACCACATATCGATTTTTATTTATTGTTTTGCAATTTGGTTTGGTGGTAATGGGAAAGATCAACTGTGAATGCAGGAGGATAGAGTGCAGAGCATGAAGCTGGTTCGTTTCTACCGAGTGGAGTTGTAGATAATCACTTAAAAAATTATTAGGAAAAAAACTTTCGAATGTTGTAAAAAAATTAAGGATTTACATTAATGTAATTGTTTCAGAAAATTAAGTTTTATGTGTGTGTGAACGAGGCATTCGTTTGGCATTTACAGGTCTCTGAAATCCGCTATTACTTTTGCATTTGTTACTCTTTGATTACTTTTGAGGCCCAATTTTACTCTTTTGTTTGCCCTTTTTTTGACTTGAGATTTAGGATTTGAAAGTTGAAACTGTATGGGGTATGACATACATACCGACAATAAAAAAATCCTTAAAAATGGATCTTTTTAAAACCTACATCGATATAGACAAATAAATTACAACAGTTTTGAAGCTAAAAGATCGATCCCATAAATGAGGGGTTGGTCTCAAGCGGACCCATAATAACTCATCTCAGATAGCTCTATGCTTTCAATGAAACAGCTCAATCCCAATTCATATCACTTTACCATTTTGTTTACGACATTTTTAATGTATTTATGAAAGACCCGTACCAAAGAACAATAATTTTACTAAATAAATATTTCTGCTCCTCCTATCTAACAGTGTCTTATTCGCCGTTATCAATCAAATGTAGGGTCCCTGTTTTATTGAAAAAAAAAAAAAAGATTGTTATCCGACATAAGCAACACCGTTTGCGTCGCATTCGAAAGCCACTATCATCTTTTTGGTGCACAAATCGATTGAGTTGAAGATAAGCCTCCTTTTTATCTATCTTCTCACATCATCACTTATTATTATTATTAGATCCAAATATACAAATGCCAATTGGTGCCGTTTCTTGATCTGGACTTTATTATGTTCTCATCATACAATTTCAGGATTCAACACTCTTACACATACACATATATATATACACTCTTAATTAGACCCATATATATGCTAATATGCATACTCATTTTAATATATTTAGAGGACATTATAATTAGAAGAGAAGTAGACACATAACCATGAAGCAAAGCAGGAACAGGTAGACTCTACTTAGTGACTCCTCCGTCTGCATTGTCCGCCGTCTCAACCGGAGACTCGTGTCACGGTCGTGCCGGTACGGTGACACGTTGCTCGAAGACTCTCCAAATAGTCTCCGGTATACCATTTCGCATACCACACCCATTACAGGATCAGGCATACTATACATGTACCGGTGACTTTCCCCTTCTCCAGAGCGTTGACCAACTCTTCTCAAGTCATAAACCGGTCTGTCCGGTATGTTTGAACCTGACCGGGGAGTTTTCTGTCCCCGGCCGTAAATTGGGACAACCGTAGCGTCGGAGACATCGGATTTGCAGACCGGACATTTTGGTGATTCCTTCTTATCGTATTGATCGACGCGTTGTCTTGAATTGTTGAAGGAATTAGTCCACTTGTATATGCAGGGCCAACAAAACAAGTGGCCACATAAAGTCACGACCGGGTCTCGAACCTGGTCCAAGCATATGTTGCAGTCGAAGTCTCCTCCAGAATCACCCAATGCTGGATTGTCTTCCTCGTTCTCTATCTCCATTTATTGCTGAAACGTACAAGACAACCCCATTCACCTGACTAGTCGTTGGTTATTAAATGAGATTTCACCTAAATAGTATATACTAAAGTTTTAATCCCATTGTTTGACCAAAACAAAAGTTAATCCTAATGAGAGATTAAGCGATGGTTTTTCATTTAAACAAGAAATATCATCACAAAATATGAAGTTCAACAGATCACTACAAACTTAACGAGAATAATCTATCTATACACCAATCATGATCTTGCTTTCAAATATTTTTTTTTCTTGAAATGATAAATTATCACCGGGACCTAAAAACGAAAATTTCAGAGAGAAAAAGAAGATAAAAAAAAATGATAAGGATCTTTAACAAGTTGGAGTTCTGAAGACTTGACCTAATCACTTTCGGTTTAAACGCTTTCCTCTGTTTTCACTTAATTTCAAAGCACGTTATTATTCATATACCATATAAACAAAACAAACAAAAATTAAATAATTAAAGAAACGGACTGGTTAATTAAACAAAGTAGTGATGACAAATGGGAAACTTATCAAATAACATCATCACAAAAGGAGTTGATTCGTATGATCTAAAACTGACATACTACCATCGAAAAGAAACAATATATTTGTGCGTGGTAACTCAAAAACGTTGCAGATCTATTGAGATATATATAAGGAGTGATTATTTGTTTCTGAAAGATAAAAAGAGACGTACTCTATGGAGAGATTGTAAGTACCGATGGATCTCTTCTGACTTTACTGCTAATTAAACTCGTTGGAAACCTTCAGAGAGTTTAATTGCTTTTATGCGACAATGGCCGAAGAACAGAGAAGAGAATTATTTTGGGTTTGGAGAGAGCAGAATGGGTAAGAATAATAGATCGAGGGTGGTGCAGAAGCACGAGAGCTTATATTATACACACAACACACACAATTATTATTTTTATTTAATAAGGTGCAAAATTAAAATCCGGAGAAGTTATTATGATTCTAAAGAAGAAACGTCTACCTAAATAAAAATAAGTAGATAAAGTAACGAAACGTCATTCTGTTATAACACATATCATATATGGATTTTTATACCGGCCCATTAGGCCCATCAGGACATTGTACTTAACCTAGATTCCCTATGTACTCTATATATACATTCTAGTGATTAATAAAGTTTCTAAGTTTTCACAACACATTATCAGCACGATAAGACTCTCTGAGCGAAAAACCCTAATAAATCCGGCCACCACCAAAACCCTAAAAGCAAGTCGAAACTTAAAAGACGCATATCTTCCAAACCGTGAGGAACCAGAAGACGATCTACATATCAAATCGAAGCCCTCAACGAGACGAATCTACTGGTGAAAACCGTTTGTCGATCCAACGTCGGACGCGCCCTCACGCACACTTACAGTACACGACGATCAACCGAAAAAAAAAAAAAACCAGATCCGAGTTTTTCCTTCTTCAACCAGCAGCTTCTCCAGTTTTGGTGATCAATCCTTGGAATTTGTAGCGGCTAACTGAGGTCTATTAGCTCCCAGTTTTATTAGCCTGTCAGAAATCCAAAGGTGGAAAAGCACACCAGCAAATGGAAACCATAGTCGTAGATAGTGGATCCAGCCACACTATCTTAAGAAACAAAAGTTACTTCATAAACCTAACCTATCAAACCGCAAATATTAGCACCATCGCGGGTCCCTCAAACCTTATCGAAGGATATGGCCATGCCTATGTGTTGCTATCAAATGGCACACAACTTGAAATACCAGATGCTCTATATTCTCCTAGTTCGAAGAGAAATCTTCTGAGCTTCAAGGATATAAGACAGAATGGTTTCCACATAGAAACCCAAGGTCAAGGGAACAAAGAATCCCTCCTAGTCACTAAAACCGTAGACGGCCATAAACAAATCCTCGAAACCATACCCGCGCTCTCTACTGGACTTTACCATGCTAAAGTCAGTATGATTGAAGCTAATACCACTCTCAAAGCCCGGTTTACTGATTATACTATTTGGCACGACCGGCTCGGTCATCCCGGTGCAAATATGATGCGTAAACAAACACTTCATTTCCTAGAAAGAATCCAGGGCGATATCTGTGGACCTATACATCCATCTTCCGGACCATTCCGGTACTTCATGGTCCTTATAGACGCATCGACCCGTTGGTCATATGTTTGTCTCTTGTCCTCTCGGAACCAAGCCTTCGCTAGGTTCTTGGCCCAAATCATAAAATTGCGGGCCCATTTCCCTGACTTCCCACTAAAGACTATCCGCCTTGACAATGCTGGTGAATTTACCTCACAAGCGTTTAATGACTACTGTATGGCCATGGGGGTAACCGTGGAACATCCTGTAGCACATGTCCATACTCAAAATGGATTGGCTGAATCATTCATTAAACGCATTCAATGGATAGCCCGACCATTACTCATGAGATCAAAGCTCCCGGCCTCAGCATGGGGACATGCAGTATTACATGCTGCTGAACTCATACGCATCCGGCCATCTAGTGAACACAAATATTCCCTATCCCAACTACTCTCGGGTCATGAGCCAGACATCTCCCATCTTAAAACATTTGGGTGTTCAGTATATGTACCCATTGCTCCACCACATCGAACCAAAATGGGACCTCAAAGAAGGATGGGAATATATGTTGGTTTTGACTCTCCCACCATCATAAGATATCTCGAGCCAACCACTGGAGATCTCTTCAAGGCCAGATATGCGGATTGCCAATTCGATGAATCGGTATATCCCTCTTTAGGTGGTGAGACAAACAAGCTGGTCAAAGATCTTTCATGGAATCAAACATCATTAAATTGGCAAGATCCTCGGACTCTAGAATGTGATTCAGAGATCCAAAAGATTATTCATTATCAAAAGCTAGCTAATCAATTGCCAGATTCCTTTGCTGACCCGACCAAAGTAACCAAATCGTACATCCCAGCTTGTAATGCACCAGTACGAATAGCTGTCCCAACGGGACAGACCCAAGTTGCTACAGAGTCTGCACCACGTCTCAAACGGGGCAGACCTCTCGGTTCCAAAGATAAGAATCCCCAGAAATCAAAGAAAGGTGCAATAACCGAAACCGGGATTCCTGCAATATCAGACATAGCCGCGGCTGAGACTCAATCTAATGAACCCTCAATGGAAGTTCGGGACGCCGAATCTCCAGGTTCAGAAGATAACAATGAGATCTCCATCAATTACAATATGTCCGGAATACAATGGAATCGAAAAGAAGTCGACTTAAATGCACTCTTTGCATACAAAGTAGCACTTGATGTTGCGCTCACGCAAGAGGATCTAGAACCCACGTCAATAACACAGTGTACACATCGAACAGATTGGCTAAAATGGAAAGAAGCCATAAACGTGGAGTTAAAGAGTCTCAAACTCAGAAACGTGTTCGGTCCGATCATCCAGACCCCATCACACATCAAGCCAGTGGGCCACAAATGGGTCTTTGTGCGCAAAAGGAACGAACTCGGTGAAGTCGTTCGATACAAAGCACGGCTTGTAGCACAAGGATTCTCACAGAGACCCGGAATCGATTATGAGGAGACTTATTCTCCAGTGGTGGATGCAACAACATTCCGATTCCTCATAAGTCTGGCCATAAGAGAAAATCTTGATCTGCGGTTAATGGATGTTGTAACCGCATATCTCTATGGGCCCCTGGACAACGAAATATATATGAGACTCCCAGATGGCATTGAACTAAAAGACAAAAATGCATCTCGAGATCAATACTGCATCAGGCTGAACAAATCCTTGTATGGACTGAAACAAAGTGGGCGTATGTGGTACAACCGCCTCAGCGATTACCTCATCAAAGAAGGCTACAAAAATGACCCCATCAGTCCATGCATCTTCATCAAGAAGTACTCAAACAAAGGATTTGTAATCATAGCAGTATACGTGGATGATCTAAACATCCTCGGAACATCTGGTGAGATCTCCCAAACAGTCGACTGCTTAAAAGCAGAATTCGAAATGAAAGACCTAGGCAAAACAAAGTACTGTTTGGGATTACAACTTGAGTACATCAAAGAAGGAATCCTTGTGCATCAATCGGCTTATATCGAAAAGGTACTCAAGCGATTTAATATGGACCAAGCTCACCCATTGACCAGCCCAATGGTAGTTAGAAGCTTAAGTGATGACCCTCTTGGTCCCAAAAAGGATGATGAAGAAATCCTTGGTCCTGAAAAGCCATACCTCAGTGCTGTAGGAGCGTTAATGTACCTGGCTAGTCACACTAGACCAGACATATGTTTCGCCGTGAACCTCCTCGCTCGATATAGTTCATCTCCAACTCAGAGGCACTGGAACGGTATAAAACATCTCCTAAGATACCTTCGAGGTACTCAAGACTTAGAACTCTTCTATACTAACCAAAATAAAGATGGGTTAGTCGGCTTCGCCGATGCAGGATATCTATCAGATCTGCACACTGCCAAGTCTCAAACTGGCTACGTTTTTACGCATGGAGGAACAGCCATCTCTTGGAGATCAATGAAGCAGACACTCACTGCCACTTCATCAAACCATGCTGAAATCCTAGCCATTCATGAGGTTAGTAGGGAATGCGTCTGGCTGCGCTCCATGACTCAGCACATCCGCAGAGATTGTGGTATGGACGAAGACACACAGCCCACGGTGATGTATGAAGACAACGCGGCATGCATAGCTCAGCTCAAGGAAGGATATATCAAAGGAGATCGGACGAAGCACATTCTACCGAAGTTCTTCTCAACCTCAGACTGGCAGAAGGACGGCACTCTCAGCGTTCAGCAGGTCCGATCCAGTGAGAATTCAGCTGACCTCTTCACCAAATCATTGCCTACTTCAACACACCGGAAGCTTGTCAAACAGATAGGAATGTATAGACTTAGAGATCTGCAGTGATGCTACAATCAGGGGGAGTAATGCGTGTTGTACTCTTTTTCCTTCACCATGGTTTTGTCCCACTGGGTTTTTCCTGGTAAGGTTTTAATGAGGCAACATTCCCCAGCGCATTATCGAGATCCCGATTGAGTAGCTGACCCGGTTCACTCGTCCAAGGGGGAGTGTTATAACACATATCATATATGGACTCTTATACCGGCCCATTAGGCCCATCAGAGCATTGTACTTAACCTAGATTCCCTATGTACTCTATATATACATTCCAGTGATTAATAAAATTTCTAAGTTTTCACAACACATTCTTCTTTTTTGAGCTATTTATTTTTTTTCTTTTTTCTTTTACTTCCTAAGCCTCTTTATTTAATTTATGAAAAGGTTAGCAAGTGATCAGCATCGTTTTAAAAAAGTAAACAAGGTAATATTGTACTATAAAACATTTTTTTGTCAAGTAATATAAAACATTTTTATTCATAACTGAAAAGTAATATTTACAGAACAAATAAAGATCCAGTTGATAGAACTACTATGCTGACAACCAAAAAAAATCAGAAATTGGAAATGCCGCATGACCTTATAGGAAAAATAATATTATAAAATATTATTAGAAATTGCAAAAATTCCCCCATAACTTTATTATCCCTATATCATCTTCATAAGATAAGAATTTGGCTCTGAAAAATAAGTAAAGATAAGTAAAGTTGGCAGCTTCTGTTTCTGGCAACACCATAGATTCTCCCCAAGTTTGATGACGTGTCACTCCATGGCTGCACCGTTACGCCTTTATTGTCCCTTTATACAAAAAATCCTGGTAATTGTGTTTTTTCCATTTTCATTAAACTTATTTGAAATTATTTGAACTTATTTGAAATTATTAGGTGTGCTGAGTGAATAACAGTGGCAGTTTGGTAAGTTGCTTAAGTAAAATCGAAGAATAATATCCCCAAAAAGGGTTTTCATTAAAGCCTTAATTAAAGGCCTTATCAACCAAGAGTCATATACAATAGTTTAAAATACAAAGCTATGTAATTAGGTTACACGTCACGGAAGCAAAGAGCCATAGTGTATTTAATTTCAAAAATAGTAATCCACTCCTTCAAATAATAAAAACAGTGCCTTTAATTCGTATTTGTTGTGTCGTCGCTATTATGTCTGAATCTGATGATGGAAAACAAGGTTTTAGACTATTCATGGTCGTTCGAACAAACAGAAAAGATTATCTATGGTCGAATCTGCGATAAAAGACAATTATGTGGAACCAATTGGATTTATAAAGGGAGAAAAAACTTTAAAAAATCAATCTCCTTTCTTTTATAAATTAAATGAACAGTTTAAATTTTAGATTTATACGACTATAGAAATATACAACTGCATTTTTCTGTTAATATACAACTGCATTTGCATGCTATATTTGTTGAAAACCTATCGAAATCAACGTCATTCCTAATAGTTCAAATTAAATGAACTTTTCAATGTTACAAGTTAGGCAATCGTTAAAAATTTAAAATTTAAAATTGAAAGCCGAATCGATTGTGCACGACAATTTTCACAATATAAATCTCGTTGAAAAGTGGCAGCTGGAAATATGGAAGTTACATTAAAAAATGGTATACCAAAAAATGCAAAATATTTTGTTGTGTTTCAGCACGTTCTCAATTCTCATAGACTTTTTATTTAAAAAAAAAAAATCTTTCAAATCATCATCAAGTAGATGGCAAGCTAAGTTCTCACTAGACATGTGTTCGACTGCTTAACTCTGATGGATCAAAGTAACCCATTTACCTCAATATTATCAGGACGAACTCGTGAAAATGAGTCGGTGGGCACTCAAAAGAAGTCGTGCACATAAGTAACTGAAACTTACTTCACTAAATCGTTCATTACACACACAAAGTTGCGTGGTCTAAATTAAAATGAAATCAAGATACTTAACAGTGATGCGAATTGGTTGTGCTGTTTTAATACGCCTTTAATAATAACTGGTTAACGTTATGTTATGTCTTTTTTTAAGCCTCTTTGAATCAATAAATTGCTATTTCGTAACGAGTTTATCAATTCCATACTTCTTACATAAAGAATAAACTTTTTCAAGAAAGAGGTCCATGCATCCATCATCTCTAACTATGTTGGGGTTTCGTATAATCTAATTCGAAATAGCTTCGCGATAACATTCACTATATTTTGGTCATTTCTTTGGAAGGATATGGTTGAATTCTCTATGATTTAGTCACTCCAATCATTCTAATGCACATAGATTTAGTCAAACTCACATTTACAATAACTGCACGTTGACTTTGATTGGAGTGATTACTTACAAGTTCCAAATAGAACGTAATGGCATTGCCATGTAATTTTATGTCTCTGAGAAAGTGATGTTGCATTTTGTTAGGATATTATATTCACCAAAATCTTCTTTTTAATATTATCCTAATTCCTAACATACTATATTTGTCGTCACGAATATTATCCTAAAGACTATTCAAGTATAATGTCTCTGACGAAGATTATCAACATTTTTTTTTGGTCATCCTATATTGAATTTGCATAAAAAGATTATTAGAGTGGGATGTCAAAAAGTATAATACCAGTGTCAAACGCACACATAAATAAAACAAAGGTCTAGGGGAAACGTAAACTGATACAAAAGATTTTGATAATAGAAACACAATTGAAAACAATCCAAAAAACCAAACCATTCTCTCAAAAGAGATCAAAAAGACAAATTTTATATACCATTAATCATTTCCTGTGTCAAACTACACAATGAAAATAATAAATTTTAATCCCACATAAATTAGTTAATCAGACGGACCATATATCACCAAATTACAGTATTTTCTTGATATTTTGCACCAGTAATTAGAATTGTTTGGATCTAATCGTAAAAAAAACCAGCTAATTCGATGGATATATCCGAAATTTAAATAGTGTGACACGAACCTCTCGAGAAACACTCAACGGATTCAGGCATCAGCCAACGATTTATCATATAATTCGTTTAATAAAAAAAAAAACAATAATAGTTGTAACTAGTATAGTAGTATGTATATAAATAATATTTTGAAAACGCATATATAATATTATCTCTATACATGTTCGTGATAATGTTTTCAAATTTTTCCATTCGAAATTATTGGAGCAAGTTGCCTCAACGATTCGGATAACTGAGCCAGGAAATGGGCGTTTCCCAATTGATTATGGATATTAAGCAGTGGTTGTTGAACCAAAATTAATATATTCATTTTTTTCTAGTATAAAGCTTTAATTGGTAGATTTGATGGTTTTTCTCGAACGATTAAAATAGTAAATAGTTAATTTGTTTTGGAATGTCACTGATATTGTTTCTTCTACTAAGCTATCCGGTACATCCGCAGCATTTTCCTCTCCTCCTATAACTCCAAGACACGATTTTTTTTTCTTAACAAACAACCTTTAGAATATCAAATGTGACAAAGACATATTCAAAGAAGGAGGAGGAAAAAGAAGCATGGAGATTTCTCCTCATTGTTTGGTTTCTCTTCTTCCAATCCTCCTTTTGTCTGGATTCGCCTCGTCTCTCCACATCTCTCGTAATTTACAATAATTTAAAATTTATTTCGTGTTCAAAAATTGATTAAAATTCCTTAAAAAAGATTCAATGTTTTTTTTTTTCACTCATTTGAATTTATATGTGCAGTTGATGAAATTGAGTCACACCCAGCAACAAGCCGAGCTCTTCTTCAGGCAAAGACACGTAAGAAATATGCTTTCCCAAATTTGAATCATTAATCGTAATAAGAGCTCATGCATGCTACACTGATGATTAGCTAATCTAAATTCGAATTATATAATGATCAAGATTCAATGTTTTTTTTTGGCTAATAATAATATAATTTTTTTTTAATAATAATATAATTAATAATAACAACAGCATGCAAAGAAGATTTTGCGAGCAAGAATTACACAATCATAACGAGTAGATGCAAAGGACCAAATTATCCAGCGAAGGTATGTTGCTCGGCCTTCAAGGAATTTGCTTGCCCATTCGCGGAAGCTCTTAACGACGAAAAGACAGAATGTGCCTCCACGATGTTCAGCTACATCAATATCTACGGTCGTTATCCTCCCGGAATATTCGCTAACATGTGCAAAGAAGGCAAGGAAGGACTCGACTGCACCGACGTCACTGTCGCATCAGCTTCTGATGCATCGGCCCCTCTTGTTTCCACACACGCATTGCTAACCACCATATTCTTGGTTTTTCTCTTATAAAGACTTATATATGTTACGATTACAATATGATTTATATAACCACGTTCCGTTTTGTTAGTTTGTTCTATGTTGTGTGAGCCATTAATTCTTTCCTCCAAAAATCATAGATGTAAATTATTAGATTTTTGTTTAGGCTCTCGTGAACTATTTCTTATTTTTTTGTCAATAACATTCGTTATGCGGGTTTGAACCTAGATTGTGTCACATCAACATCATTAGTACGAACTATTAAGCTTGGGGAAAATTTCTTTACGCATCACAAAACTAGCATTTATAACATGTTGTGTAGATCATGATAACATTTTGGTAAGTAATGGGCTGAGTTCATCTTCAAGGCCTCATAGGGTCAGTCAAATATCTAGGAAGACAGTTAGAAAGAAAATGAAAAAAAGAACATGAATCTCGTAAAACATACATGCCTTTTGGTGGTGTATAAAAGGTTTCAAAAGTGTTACACTTTAATCCAAAGCTACTATAGTGAGGTGGAAATAGAAAAACCGAAACTTTTTTTTAGACATCACCGGAAACTTTAAAATCAGTAATTTTGTTGTTGTTGATCAAATGGCTAAACAATAGAAAATATTGCAAATCGGAAAATGCAAGGTTATCGGTGAGCAGTAACAAGCGTCTCGATGAATCTTAACCCATCAAACCTTGGAGCAAACTTTTCATCTCCTTCATCTTCCGAACCATTTTTCTTTCTCTGTTTTTCCTTTGAATCCTAATCAAATTCAGTCACAAATAATATATTAATTCCTAACGCATCCGAATCCAAAAAATTATCTCCTCTCGAACATGGGAGTTTGATAAATTTGACAATTTTGATTATAGCAAGTTTATATTGTGCAATAGATCTTGTGTGAGTCCCCCAAACAGAGCTAAAACAGAGGAACTTAATGTAATTGAGAAACTCAAAAAAAAAAAGATTGCTTCTTCTTTTTTTTTTTGACCTACCTGACGAGAAAGATTGGATTCCGACAAAGAGAATGAGACGGAGGTGTTGGTGGCGGCGGTGGCGGTGACTGCGGTGGCGGAAGCGGCGGCAGAGATGGAGGCTGCGAGGATTCCAGATTTCTTCATGTCAGTCTGACTCTTCAAATTTCCCAAATTCGTGGACTCTTTTTTTTTTTTCCTCTTTCAACGGAAAATCTGAAACCGTAGGCAGATGAAGAGAAAATGTGGGAAAATTGAGGTGTTTGCTTCGATAATGGACGGCTTATATACGCAACGGGAAAAGTTAAATTATGCTATTTGACAATTTAATGACTCTCTATAATACATTCACTTTTTTACCCTTTCTCCAAAGTGTCTTAAACTTGTTAAACTACTGTGTTATATACAGTTAGGATAATTTGGTTTCATAGAGAGATGCAAATGAATAACTGTTGTTTTGTTAAAATGATTTATTTTCTTGACGAATTTGGACGAGTGCAAAAAAAGAGGGTTAATACTTAATATGGTAAAAAAATAAATGGACTTTGAACCTCGAAGTTAGAACCACACAAAGAGGTACATGATTGGTTGATCTTTTAAATGAAAATGGGTCCATCATTGGTTGGTAAGCCATCCACGTGTCCGGACAATGTTGAAACTGTGCGTTGATGTTTTTGAAAATGTAAAGTCAGCTTCTAAATTTGGACATTTATACCCCTCTTCTTTTCCATTATTACTGTTGGTATGTTATGAACTTATGATCATAAGATAAGGTCGAAACACTAATGACGGGGAACAATGGTATTGAACAAGTGGATCTGATTTTTTTTTTCTTTTTTTGAGAAAGTTTCGGATGCAAACTGATGTAAACTGATTTGTGGATACAACCTTGACAAATCCAACTCGTAGATTATTAGCCTCAACTCCATTTCTGGTGAGATTTCTCTACGTCAAAAATAATTGTTAACACATTTATTATTTGATAAAGACAAGATAATCTCGTAAAAAATTCGAGTATTCACATCAATATATACTACTAATTATGTTCGGTCATCCTAGTTCTTATATATGTCATGGTAAACGGACATAATCGTATAAACTAAAGCATCTTATGGTGACGTGTTAAGATCCCAGTTAGTTGTTAATATATAGATTAAAGTTTTGATAAAAAAATGTATGGATGCAAATGAAAGCAGAAACTTTGCGGCTAGTTTCTTTATGGGTTTATAATACCAAAATTACTTTTGGAGGGCTTTATATCGTTTGCACATTATCATAATAATAGTGTCCACATATCTTTCCCTTTTCACCGGCCAAAACTGATTCGGTCCATATCTGTATCTTAACGTGAATCATTGTTCATGTCATGTCCCAATCCAAGACGCCAACAAATTGTAAAACGGCATCGTTTTCCATGATAAAAGGTTGTGAATGTCTATAGTCATCAAGTCAAAGGCTATAAATAACAAACCCAAACAAACGAGGGAAAATCAAAATAATCAATAACACTGGGGATCAAGATACAAATATTAATACAGAAATAAGAGAAAAGTCGGTTTGGCTGTTTCCTCTCTTCTTCATCCTTATCTCAAGTCTGAACTAAAACTTCCATTTTTTTCTTCACTTAACATTTTGGAATTAAAGAAAATAGAAAAAGGAGAAAGAAAACGTTTTTGTCCTGCTTCTTCTGCTTGCGTTTTCTCAAAGGTTTGAAGAGGACGAGAACCAGCTTTGCTTTCCTCACAAGACTATTCTAAGCGATTTCCTTTTTGGGTTTTTTATACAAATCGATTTCAGTCTTCGGATCAATGGCGTCTGGATCGTCGGGTCGGGTCAACTCGGGATCTAAGGGTTTCGATTTTGGGTCCGATGATATCCTCTGCTCTTACGATGACTACACCAACCAGGACTCGGCTAATGGTACTAACTCCGATCCTGCGATCGGTGCTACCAACGCAAATAAGGTGAACACAGATTTCACCTTCCGTCTGTTTTTAAGTCTCCACTTTGCTCGATCGACGATTTGTTTTGATTTTTGGGAAAATTAGGGTTTCGATTTGGGAAATTGATGTGATTACGATTATATGCTGGAATATTGTGATTTGGGTGCTCAAACAATGACAAAACCTTCCGATCATTCGCGTGATCGTGTACTTGATTGATATATTCTTCTCAGTGACAGTTTCTGGGAGTCAATATCGAACATCTTTTAGCTAATTCTGCTAGTTTCCTCGTTTCTGTTTCTATTAACAGTTTTCATTTCTTCGAGGTGATAATTGGCATTTACCCAGAAAAAAGATCAAGCTTTTTTAGTTCATTTAGTTTATGAATCTGAAGTAGATGATACGCGTATTTGGTTAATGGGGTTAATGATGCTTTTGTTTGCACTTAAACCTACGATTAAAACCTATGCACATTTGTAGTCCTTGTATTTTTATATAGGTTGTGAATTGTGAGGAACTATGTTTTGTCGAAACGGCTTGGCGATGAATCTAATAACACTTGGAGTCTTTTAATCAGAATAAGGAGAGCTAATTCCGATATTGTTCAGCTGTAACTGTCTCGCTTATATGTTGAAAGAAAATTTCATTCAGCTGATCATGATACTGAGCTAGTCCTGTTTATCGTTTCATTCTGCATGCAGGAATTCCACAAGACCAGGATGGCAAGGTCTTCGGTTTTCCCTACAAGCTCCTACAGCCCACCTGAGGACTCTCTGAGCCAAGACCTTACTGCCACTGTCGAAAGAACCATGAAGAAGTACGCAGATAACATGATGCGCTTTCTTGAAGGCATCAGCTCACGCTTGTCCCAGCTAGAACTGTACTGCTACAACCTTGATAAGACAATTGGAGAAATGAGATCGGATTTGACTCGTGAACACGAGGAGGCTGATGTGAAGCTTAGATCCATGGACAAACATCTTCAAGAGGTGTGTTATGCGAGTAGTTTTTGTCATTTGTTCTTTTGTAAAACTCTGATCTGCAATGGATGTTAAGACGATGTGTATGTTCTGGTGTAGGTGCATAGGTCAGTCCAGATTCTCAGAGACAAACAAGAGCTAGCTGATACTCAGAAAGAGCTAGCGAGGCTTCAACTTGGCAAGAAAGATTCATCTTCCTCGTCTCATTCTCAACATGGTGAGGAGCGGGTCGCAACTCCTGTTCCAGAGCCTAAGAAGAGTGAGAACACCTCAGATGCACACAACCAGCAGCTTGCACTTGCTTTGCCTCACCAAATGGCACCACATCCTCCAGCGCAGCCACAGCCGCAGCCGCAGCCGCAGCAACATGTCATACAACCACAGCAGCAGTATTACATGCCTCCAACTACACAGCTTCAAAACACACCAGCACCAGCGGCCGCTCCTGCTCCACCATCACAACCTCAAGCACCACCAGCGCAGGGTCAGTTCATGCCCCCACCTCCTGCTCCATCTCACCCAAGCTCTGCCCAAACTCAGTCATTCCCTCAGTACCAACAAAACTGGCCTCCCCAGCCACAGGCCAGACCACAGTCTAGTGGAGCCTACCCAACATACTCACCTGCACCACCAAGCAGCCAATCCCCAGTAGAACCGTTGCCTAGCAGCATGCAGATGCAACAACCATACGCTGGATCTCCTCAACAGTCAATTCAAGCTTACGGATACGGTGCACCACCACACGCTCCGCAGCAGACAAAGATGTCTTATAGCCCGCAGACAGGCGACGGGTATCTACCCTCAGGGCCTCCTCCATCCGGGTATGCCAGTGCCATGTATGAAGGTGGGCGGATGCAATACCCACCAGCTCAGCCGCAGCAGCAGCAGCAGCAGGGGCATTACATGCAAGGTCCACAAGGTGGTGGGTACGCTCCCCAGCAGCACCAGGCAGGAGGCGGTAACAGTGGGACACCACCAGTCTTGAGATCAAAATACGGTGAACTGATAGAGAAGCTAGTGAGCATGGGTTTCAGAGGAGACCATGTAATGGCTGTGATTCAGCGGATGGAAGAGAGTGGTCAACCCATCGACTTTAACGCACTCCTTGACAGATTGAGTGTGCCTTCCTCAGGAGGGCCTCCCAGAGGATGGTGAAGCCATGTCACATAGCTCCTCTCAATTTGTATGCTTTAACAATAAAAAACTCTGCTTTCTGCTTGCGTGTCAGTCTATAGGCCCTAGTTTTATTGGGCCCAATAGATTGGGTCTTATGTGTATTGTTGTGGGACTCAATTTATGTTTACTTTAAAAGGCTATTATATTTGTGTTTTCTCTTTCAGTGTTCCTCTTGAACCAAATCTTTTTCTTGAAAGTTGAAACTGCATTTCTTTTGCTCAGTTTGTTACTTTGTATTGGACCGTATTTTTGTTTTATATCGAATCGTGTTTATAAAAAATGCCAAGCTTTTAATTTTAAATGTAAGATTATATTGAAATTAGTTTTCTGTTGTATTTGTTTGATTTTACTTTTTAATGTAAAAGTTCAGTACTTAATTTGAAAAATGTCACAAATAGAAGCCCCGCGTAAAAATAAGGGGGCGCGCGTGTATCAGCACCGAACAAACACACAAATCCTGTGAGATGTGTTCAAACCAAAATAAATTGAAAAAAATTGCGGGCAATCGAAACTAAAGAGGCGCCAAAGTTTTTATTTCAAGCAGCGCGGCAGAGTCTCGCGCCAATAATCTCACCCGCCAAAATCTCCTTCATATAATCCCTATATCCCCAATCTCCATCACTCATCCTCCATTTCTCTCTCTCTCTCCCTCTCTGAAATTACACAATGATGACGCCGGTGAAGAAACATTTTGCCATTAGGCCGGCGGAGTTCTACGGGAACGGGCTTCCCCGACCTCGTTACTTCGATAGCCCTCAGTTCAACTCTCACCGCGTTGATCCGCCGCTTTCTGTGCTTGATCCGCTTCTCTCATGGGCGAGAGATGCTCACTGGTCCATGGGTGGTCTCAACTTCACGCGCCTCCGTCTCCAGGGCCGAATCGAAGGAAATGTCAACAAGCTCCGTGCCCAGCTTGAGAAATCTAGCCCTGTGAAACTCGAATCTGGAAGTTCCGAGAAGAAGAAGACGAAGAGATCTGGTTACGACTCTCCCCCTGCGACTCCGATTGCGGTGAAACGAAGGAAGTTCTTAGATCTGAACGATGATGATGATGGCGAAGAGGTTGGATCGGAAGATGAAGGTGTGGCTAGAATCAGGAGAAAACTCTCTGATGATTTTGATAGAGTGGCTGTAGAGAGCAAGACCAAAGTGGTTAAATCCAGCCAAAAATCAATCGAATCGGAATTAGGGAAGAGATCGAAGGAGAAGAAGACCCAAAAGGTTGAGGAGACGAGCTCAACGAGGACATCTCCAAGATTGGCTAAGCGTAGATCGAGTTAGTTTTCATTTAGCTTCGTCAAAAATCTCTCTCTGTAGGGTTTAAACTTAATGGTATAGTTCATGAAAATGCAATTTAGTTTTTGGATCTCTCTTGAAGAGATAACAGATTGTGTGCTTATAAATATGAATTTCTCTGGTTTTTCTTTCAATTTATCATATGAATTTCTCTATTATCTCGAACTTGGTAACCAGAATACATCAATCTATAGAGAGTTTACCAAAATTAGAATCAGATTTCACTGTATAAGAAAAAAACAGTGTACATATGATTCTCTCAATGTCTGTGAGAACAAAGTTTTTTCAACTTATGTTCCTTAAGACGTCCTGTGACTCGACCCAATCTGCAAGATTGCTCGATCATCAATCTGTACATGGAATCTTGTTCATGTGGAACAATCCCAAATTCATCATTAAAACCTTCCATGCCTTCCATGAATAGCTGCCACACCAGTGTGCCTGCACCTGACTTCCTTCGCTTTGCTGATTTGTAAACCACATCGAAGATGATTCTGTAGAACCGTTCTCGCTGCGATGGCTCGTAGTCCTTGTTCAGGTTCGAGAGCCCAAACTCTGTGAACAGAACTGGCTTCTTCAGTTCCTTCATCCCATCTTCAACGTGAGATTGCATCCATTTCACCACAAACTTTAGCTTATCTTCGAAGCTCTGATCATGAAACCTGTCCATACGTAGCCAAATCAGCTACCAAGTTTCAATCTTTCAAAGAGCTCAGGGCAATTAAATCTTCAACGTACATACCAGTGATCAGGGTAGATATGAACGGATGCGAAATCAATGTTTGAGGAATTAGAGTTTCGAACAAAGTCGGTTCCAAGCTCAGAAGGCCACTGTTCTGGATTAACTGTCAGGCGTTTCGGGCTCTTGGGACCATAGAAGCCTTCCAGGCCAACTGTGAGGAGATGCTTGTCATCAATTGACTTTATGAAGCCTGTCATTTCGTCTATCCATTCCTGTGATTCCGCAAGAAACGTATTGATATTTTGCTGAATAAGAAACAACCTAAAACGATTCAAAAGTGAAAAGTGAAATGGAGGACTGACTTGGAGGGTGTCGCCAGAGACATCAGATGAGCATCTAGGCTCGTTTATCAACTCCCAAGCGAAAATCGTAGGGTCGTTTCTATACTCTATTCCAGTCACTGAGTTCTTGCGGGTGAGCAGAGCCTGCAAGTTTAAGAAACAGAATCCCATCTTTACTCTTTCGCTCACTCAATGATTTATGTTCAATCATATTGGCAAGTAGATAAGACCATTACCGTGAGATAGTTCTTGAAGTATTTGCGGATAGATGGGTCAAAGAAGAAGGAATCATTGGAGGAGCTGAGGCCAACACCTTCTTGCCACGCCCATTTCACATACTGTGACTTCCCTCCGTACGCTTGCAAGTTGTTCACTAAGCTAAGAAGCAATCTAACATCATGCTTCCTTGCCTCTGCGATTACATGATCCAAGGCCTGCACAAGCATTATACAAATTCCATTAAACAAATATCCAGAGAAATGGATATTCCATTTCTTATCATCTTCGTTGGAAGTAAGTCAGTGATCAAATCAACAACAGAGTGAAACGAAAGAAAAGCCTAGTAACAGCTTCTAGCACCTCATAAACTAAATGTGTCGTAAGTTTTCAAACGAAGCTACTAAACTTATCATTTGTTAAAGTCTTCCAAAGCCATGTAACAAAATGTACCTGGAAGACTCGCTCATCGAAATGGCCAGGAGAGATCTGGAGAGCATTGTAGCCACCGTCATTGAAGGCCCAAGTTCTACAAACAGTGAGACCCATTTTGGCTCCAGCTTCAAGCATTTCACTCACTCGGTATCTACTGTGTTCATTCACTGCATGGTCCATGAACCAATACGAGTTCCACCCATTTACATACAAAGCCTTACCATCCACCACGAATTGAGTTCCGTTCCTTTTCACAAACCCTAACTCGGTTTTCGCTTTGTGATATAGCCACAAATCTCGAAATGAGAAATAGATGAAAGCTGCACATATCAGGAAGCCTAGAATTGGTAGCACTGCCCCGTTCCTTGCCGGAGCCATATACAGCAATTTCTACCCAGAATTGGAGAAACAGAGACCTTGTCGGTAGCACCCAGAAGAAAAAGCTTGTCTGTGTTCGGTGAATGTCTCTGAAAATCCAAACTTTTTATGAAACCCAAACGGAAAAATTATCCCTTTATACCAAAGATAACAAGATTTGAAATAAGCGCTCCCATTTACGGCTTTAAGCAAAATGGAGATGCAAACTAGCAGAAAAATGTGAGCTTGATGAAGAATTGAAAAATTGAATAACCCAACAAACACAGATCTATGTGTTTTTGTATTTACATATAATATATATATATATATATATATGTGCTTTCCAGAAACCTGATGACAAAAATAAAAATTAAATAAAAAGGAGAAGAAATACGGATCTTAGACCCAAATTTTTCTTTTTTTTGCTGTAATATAATTTTCTCTCTTAAAAAGAAAAAAGCTTCTCGGCTTCAAACAGCCTATAGCCATTTTATAATAATGCTGATGTTTGTAAATGGCTGAAGAGAAAATCACAGAACTTGACCAAAAAGAAAGAAGAAAGAGCACATAACTTAATCAGCAATAAGACATCAAATTAGAAAAGACGAATATGTTGTTGAAAACTTTTAATGATGAAATTTTAATTTTAATAAAAAAGACAGAAAAAAGCCAAATGCTTTGGAGTGTCATCACATTCAGATATTTGAGAATGTTCATTGTTCATCAATCATGTGATTCAAAATAATGAATTGTGAATCCCCACAACACACAACCTTTGATTTCTCACGTTTGAAGTTAAGAACGTTTTCAAGATAATTTCTTACTCTTAATAATAATTCATGTAGAAATCCAAAAGTCAACTCTGAAAATACATAAAATAGTTACATTTTACATCGAAAGTATTTAGTTTTTTGCATATACTCAACATTCAGTAACATATTTTTTTATATGTAAATGTTGAGAATCACTCGTTTAGGTGTTGTCCACGTTGTAGCATAGATAGCATGACAATCACATTTGTGGAAAGATTTTTTTTTTTATCTTTGTAGTTTAGCAACAAATAAATAAATTTTAATGATCAAATGTGTGAACCTGTTTGGCTGTTCATCACAAACCACAACCCTCTTCGGCTTTGTATTTTTTAATGTTTTATTGACTAATTGGTAGTTAAATATACAAAACGAAATCAGCTAGAATTTGGTAATATGTTTTTCTCTCCATGTTGTTGCCGACATCTATGGTACTATATAGATATATAAAATAATACAAAACTTACAGGTATAGTATATAATAATTAAAAGACAAGAGTAAAATACTTAATGTTGTCGGCTACAATTTTTTTTTCTTTTTTCCTTTTTAATGCCTGAAGAATCATTGATAACACATAGTTCTGTGACTGTAATTGCAAGTGATGGAAGTGCAAAGTTTGTACATTAGTCATCTAACATCTTGCAGTTAGACTAGGAGATAAAAGCTGAATAACTGTTAATTTTTTTTTTAGTCTCAACAACCTCAATCCCACTTGTTTCATCTGCAGTTATCTTTCATTGCATTTAGAAAAAAAGAAAAAAAAAAAGCTAATGTATGGATACAAAGAAAAAATAAAAGTCTCAACAACCTCAATCCCAATTGATTGCCACCCTCCTCCTCTTGACGCCTCCAAATTTTCCCTTCATTACAAGGATTTTGGCCGACAATCGGAAACATTTTGGTGTGTTTGTCGTAGAAGAGAGAAAAAACTTCCGATTGTATCCAGCTACAGATTGAGTGTATTTGTCCATAAGTTTTAGCTCAACCACATGTATGTATCAATGATGTAGCTTGGTGTTGGAGCAGTTTTCCCAATCTTTCCGTAAGTGGCAGCCAGAAATGGGATATCGGTTTTGACGATATTGTGTCCAACCCAAATATTTCTATTCAAAACATTGTACATTTTGTCTGAAACATTTTCAAATGTCTTTGTATCTTCAAGTCTTTGTATCTTCAAGTTTCACGGCGTGTAATTCCGTGATGATTTCTAACTCTAGAAAGCACTTTCTCGTTCAATTTGACACACCATTCCCATTTATCAACCTCATACATCGTCTTTGGAGACACTTCAATGACTCTAAATTTGAGGATTTTTTTTTGGAGCTAACCACTGCTAATTTTGGGTTTGATAAATATATATATATATATAAAGCAAAATAACACGCAGAGAGGCCAATTATTCTTCTTAATAATGATGTACAACCACCAACCAATGAGAGTATGAGACTGAATAATAATTTAAGACAATGTAAACGAAACTAAAGTGAATATACTACTCTTTCCGTTTCACAAAGAATATCGTTTTAAGGTTTTATTTTTGTTTCACAAAGAGTGTCGTTTTATATTTTCAATGCAAAATTTTAAACAATATTCTAGTTTTAACTCTATTAATTTAATATATTTATTAGAGAAAAACAAATTATTTAATGTCTTAATAAATGACAAAGTTGTACTTTTAATAATTTTATTAATATGTGTGAAAAATGTCAGAATGACACTCTTTGTGAAACAGATGGAGTATAAATGATGTATGAGAGTTATATTCACCATGGATCGAGAGCATGGGGAAATGTTTGAACATGTAGATTTTTTTGTCACATATGGATATATAATTATTTATTTGAATCATCTTACAAACTATGCATATTGACTTGGATTGAGCACCTCCTTACACTTATTTACCAATGCGCATGATGAAGAATAGGTGAAGGGGAATATTTCTCTTTTATTTATTTATTTATAAGAATTAACTTACTCACCACATTTTAAGCTTTCACCTAACAACAACAATGTGATCATACCTAATCACATGCAGTTCCTACCTGAGACACAATCTATCGTCTTCTTTTGTCATTGAATCTATCAATTTCATAATTTCTAGGCCATTATTTTATCAACCAGTTTTTTCATCGAAAACATGCAATATTCGGCGTTAATTTTGTGAGGTTACATAATGAAAATAATAACAAACACTTAAAATACATATCTTGTAAGACATTTTACATTTTATTCCATAAAAAGAAAAATTCTCAACATATCAATATCAAATTTTGGCAGTTATCTATCCCATTGTTATAACTTATAGGAGAACCAATTGTTAAAGGCTCAAAGCTAGTATTTTGCATTTCACAAAATTCTAAACATTTCAATATTTAAAACGAGCAAAAAGCTGATTTATAAAAACAAGATTAGTCAAATCTGTACCTAACGTTTTTTATAATAACATTTTACATCTTCGCTAACCAAGTAATTAGTAGTTCTTGTTGTCAAAACGAAAAAGTAATCAGTAGTTCTCCATTAATTCATGGAACTATGGAAGGAACATGAACTGGGCTATCGATAGTAAACCGTAAGCACAATGGGCCTTAAAACCCACATTATGCTTCAGACGCTTTTCCACGGACAGAGAGACAGAGTGACAGACAAACAGAGAGACCAAAAGAAGAATCTGTGTTTCTTAAAGAAATAACAAAAGAAAAGACAATCACTTCACGTGTTGGTATTGTGACGTAGAAGCATTCCATCTGACATCAGAAAAAAAGAATACATCCATCTACCAAATAAGATCGATTTTTTTTTTTTCAGATTCAAGAAATCAAATCTTGTTAAATTAAGGGCAATATTAGTTGTGAATGTTTTTGTTTATGACCAAATTGGCAAAACTGAATCAAGAGGAAGAAGAGTAAGAGTTGAAGAAGACGAAGTAAGCAAGAAGAGCACAAAGAAGAGCCACAAAGTTGCCTTCTTTAAGAAGAACCCTAAACACAAATCCAGCGATCTCTTTCGTCACTTTCCTCCCTTCCACCACCACTCTCCTCCTCGATTTTCCGGCGAACGCCATCGACACGACCACCGATATCCAGATCACCACTATGGCCGGAACGGCTATGAAGAGCGCCGCCGCCATCGACAGAACTCCGAACACCGCCCCAAGAAGCACCGATGCGTAAACCGCAGGCCAACCAGATGATGTCTTGTGGTTCTCTCCGTACCAATCCACTATCGAATTCAGCGAGTTCCATGAAGAAGACAAGAGGATCGCGTAGACGACAAGAAATAGACAGACCCATGTTCTTCTCTTGCTAATGACTCTCAGAAACAGCTTGTACGATGTCACCGTCTCTTGTTCTTCCTTGTCCGCCATTAAAACACCGGATCTGATGATTCTGTCTGCTTGTTAAAGTTATGGTAAATAGTAAATATACCCTTCTCTCTGTCTAATGTAATGTTCTTCTTCTTGCTTTCTTTCTTTTCTCTTTATTCCTTTTTTTAGGGTGAGTGTTTGCGGTGAAGAATTGTGAGAAAAGGAAAGTGGCCGTACGTTCTTTAGTTTCTACTTGAGCAAAGTCGAATCTGTTGTTGCGTGAAGAACACGCTCTTTCTAATGTGCGTAGTGATTGGACAGTGTTAGTCACGTGCCTTTTATTAGCGGTCCATTTAAAGTCTTTGCCTTTTCCTGCAAACTGACAGTTGGAGAGCTCTGTTTCCATTTTTTTGTTCTTTCTTCTCTATTCGCTTTCGGCTCATCTCCCAAAAACGCACCGTTTTCTTGAACCAAGTGAAATATGTACATGCATACACACCAATAATATCATATCGAACTCATTAAAAAATGTAATCAGCAATACTATTAGAGTATTAGGGCTTTGACGTGATCTCAGGATTAATTCGACGATGCTTACAGTTAACGAATAAGTTGACTAATGTGCGATATGTTTGCAAGAATCGAAGGGAAAAATTAGAAGAGGAAAAATTTGACAATTCGAGGCTGACTTTTTTGACCAATACTTTCATCATACACTCTTACTGTCATACACATAAATGTGAACAGAGGACCATACCAAGTCCAATTAATTCCAAGCGGCTCGGATGAGGAAAAATGGGGGGAAAAATAAATTTCAATTGCTAAATTTATTAGAGATCAAACAAAATACGACTTCTCGCGCCGGATATTGTGACGTCTTTTTGTCACATTCTTGTTTATTCAAATAAAAAGTTCAAACACAAAATTCGTAAAGTATTAACTAATATTTCATTAATCATTTATATAAATGGAATCTTCGAGTTGTAGACAATTTATTTGAATTTGGTTGACACAGCTACGAAAAATCAGTCAAATCTCTTTTTGAGTTTTGACCAAACTGTTCCTCTTCCTCCTTCTCATAAACTTAAACACTTCCACGCAAAAAGATCATCTCTTTCGTCTCCTGTCCTCTGATCAAAATCCCTCTTTTAACCATGTTGTCCAAAGCTTCCATCTTTATATTTTTCGCCACATCCCATCTACTATTCCGATCAATCTCATGCATCGAATTCATCTACAACTCCAATTTCACCACCACCAACACACTTCTCGTCGGCGCCGCCACCGTTACATCTCCGCCGTCGATCCTCACCCTCACCAACGAAACAACTCTCTCCATCGGACGTGGCCTCTACCCTTCTAGAATCTCCGCCGCTTCCTCCTCCTCGCCGCTCCCTTTCGCTACATCATTCATCTTCTCCATAGCTCCATACAAAAACAGGCTCCCTGGCCACGGCTTCGCCTTCGTCTTCCTCCCCTTCTCCGAAACAACCGCCGCGAGCTCAGCTCAGCATCTCGGCATGCTCAATTTGACAAATAACGGCGACTCCAAAAACCGAATCTTTGGAGTTGAATTCGACGTTTACCGAAACGAAGAGTTCAATGACATCAACGATAACCACGTCGGCGTCGACGTCAATTCTCTCACTTCCGTTACATCTGCGGTCGCCGGTTTCTGTGGAGGCAGAGACGGAGATAGATTCACGGAGCTGAGGCTTAACAATGGCGAGAACTATCAGGCTTGGATTGAGTTTAATGGGTCAGCGATAAATGTCACGATGGCTAGAGCTGGCTCTAGGAAACCTTTAAGACCTCTCATAAGCATTCCGTTGAATCTCACTGGAGTTTTACTTGATGATATGTTCGTGGGATTCACTGGATCCACAGGGGTACTAGTGCAGAGCCATAGGATCATCTCGTGGAGCTTTAGCAACTCTAATTTCTCCATTGGCGACGCTTTAGTGACTAGGAATCTTCCTTCGTTTCAATTGCAAGATGACTCTGTTTTTAAGTCTAAAGGCTTCATTGCTGGAGTCTCTGCTAGTGCTGTTGTGTTACTAGTCTTTGTAATTGGGATCATATTCTATGTTATAAGGCAGCAAAGGCGGCGACTAGACGATGATGTGGAAGATTGGGAAACAGAGTATTGGCCTCACAGAGTGCAATACAGAGACGTTTTGGAAGCAACAAAAGGGTTTTCGGAAGAGAATATGATCGGATACGGAGGGAATTCAAAGGTGTATAGAGGAGTGTTGGAAGGTAAAGAAGTTGCTGTGAAGAGGATAATGATATGCCCTCGTGAGAGCGTGGCTGGGACGAGTGAGTTCTTGGCCGAGGTCTCGAGCTTAGGGAGGTTAAGACACAAGAATATAGTGGGACTAAAAGGTTGGTGCAAGAAAGGAGGAGAGAGTCTGATATTGGTCTACGAGTATATGGAGAATGGAAGCGTAGATAAGCGGATATTTGATAGCAACGTGATGTTGAATTGGGAAGAAAGAATGAGAGTGATAAGAGACGTAGCCTCAGGGATGTTATACCTACACGAAGGGTGGGAGTCAAAAGTGTTGCATAGAGATATAAAGTCGAGCAATGTGTTGCTTGACAAGGATATGAATGCGAGGGTAGGTGATTTCGGGTTAGCTAAGTTGCAGAACGCGAGGAAAGAGATGGTTAGCACGACACACGTGGTTGGAACAGCGGGTTATATGGCTCCTGAGCTGGTTAAGACAGGGAGAGCATCGGCGCAGACCGATGTGTATAGCTTTGGAGTGTTTGTGTTGGAAGTAGTGTGTGGAAGGAGGCCACTAGAGGAAGGAAAAGAAGGTATAGTGGAATGGATGTGGGGACTAATGGAGAATGACCAAGTGGTTGATGGTTTAGATGACAAGATAAAAACGAGAGGAGGGTTCGAGACCAAAGAAGTAGAGATGGGTTTGAGGATAGGACTGTTGTGTGTGCATCCTGATCCGAGGATGCGTCCAAAGATGAGACAAGTGGTGCATATATTGGAACAAGGGAGAGTGAGTGATGATGGTGATGAGATGGAAAGAGAAGGCATGGAAGTGAGCTTGTTAGAGAGAATGAAGAGTTGTTACTTGTTGGGAACTGATGAGGGAAGACAACAACATCCCACGTTCCTAGATGTATGGAACTCATCTTCTTATTCTAATTCTTTTGGGGGTTCTGATTCTATTCTTCAGGGAAGGTGAAAAACTTGTGTGAGTTTTTTTTTTGTTTACTATGTAGGATATAGTAATATACAGGTTGTGTGATTCTTCTGTATATAAAGAGCATGTCCATTAGTCATACTGTTAATGGGGTTGTTAACTTAAAAATAATATTACTTTTTGGAGACGTGAACATTGATGATACTGAAGTTGATTTGGGCTTCCATTAATGAACCCGAGTTAAGAGTTCTTATGGATAAAAAATTAATTTTTTTTTTGTTTATGTAATTTAAACTTTCATATTAATAGAACATAGATTTTTAAATCATTACAAGAAAATTCAAAAACATAAACATAGATACTATAGATATTTAAAATACAGAACATTTTGATTTAAATTTCAGGAGTACCAAATTTGTTCCATTCCACTAAATCGGCTTTCAATCGAAGATGTATTTACCTATCCCAGACTTCATTTCGGATTTGAATTCGATCGCCAATCACATTGTTGAGATTTGTAGACATATTTGTAAAATACATCATATCCACATGTGAAGTTTTGGTTCCTTCAGCTTGATCAAGTTGTGTTATGACACTCCAATGGACATGCTCTAAGATTGCATGAATTTCATTTATCATTGAGATTGAAGCTGTTTCTATAGTTAAATCATTTTACTATGTGTTAACATCATCAATGAAGCACCAGTGGTCTAGTGGTAGAATAGTACCCTGCCACGGTACAGACCCGGGTTCGATTCCCGGCTGGTGCAGTTTATCAACTTTTACCCTTTTTTATATTCCAAACATCTACTTTTCGGCCTTCAGATTATTGCCTTATTGGAATAAGGTGGTGAATCTGGAGACGCTGCAACTAGAGTAATTGTCTGCTTGGGAACTCGCAGAAACAAGATCACCAATTCACCACCTTATTTCTAGATTTGGGCCGTTGAGTTAGGCCTGGTAGTACTAAAAAGTTGTTCATGGTGTTCCGGTTTGAGTTCAACAAAATACATGCACTCTCCTTGAATCATTTGGATGTATATTTTAAAATTTAAGATCCTTTTTATTTCATTTAAACGTTCGTCTTAGAGTGTGATGGATCCGACTAAAATCAAAGTGTGGGTCAAATCTAATCAAAATCTTCTAAGCTCATTTAAATAGGTAGATTAATATATATAGCCACTTGTAAAAATTTAATAAACAAGAACTTGTATAACTTTAAATTAATTTTATCCTATGAAATGATACAAGTTGTGAAAAGGCAGTTTAATTTAATGCATAGGATAAAGTGTACCTTGAGATGATAATCTTCTTTATAGATACGCTAACTTAAAGAAACAACAAAAAATCTTCTCTTTTTACTATAGACGAATTAGATTCCGGGTAACATCTTATTTTCAGAAATAACTAACACTACTTGAAAGTTGAAAAGCATGATTAACGTAAAATTTTATTCAAGTATCGTCTCAAGTTGCAAGCGTTAATTTAAGGTTAAATTATGGTGGTTTCAGAAAATCTCATATTTTATGTTCCCACTATCTCAACAAAGCATTCTAAACAGTTTCTTTAATCAAGGTTAGGTTGAAGAGATTATCATGTAGGTACATCATTTAAAGTTTGATATATTTATTAATATGGTGGGATTTTAGACCCACGACCCATATCCTAACTGCTATTCTTTTAACATGAAGTCGTCGTCGTACAGGGAAAATATACGAAGCAGATGACAAAGATATATATTTAATTTCTTGCTTACCTCATCCATTTTCGTAACTAGGAAGTAGGTATAAAGTTCATTCCCATGTAACTTGATGAGTTCATCATAATTTTTGCTTTCCAAATAATTTCCTACAATCATATCACGTTCACAACTCATACTATTAAAACCTCTTTTGTTCTTCTAGAGACAACGATACGTTCGGTATGGTTAAGTAATTAGCGCCGGTTAGCATTGTCTCAGAGTGATGTTTTGAACGGTGTAAAGTAGTTTAGCTGAATTTTTCAGTTAAGCGCATATTACTCTCTCTGTTAAACACCAGTTGAATTACAAACGTATTGG